TCTATCACTGTCTCTATTTATCCTATCTATCTATCTATCTATCTATCACTATAATATATGTCTGCCTGTCTATTTGTTTCTCACCCATATCAACTTTAAAACAGGTGGACTTCAACTCCTAGAGTTGCTCAGCCAGCATCAATAAACCTCTGACTCTCTAAATAAATCTAAATTTATATATTATGCAGGTAATGCAAATGCCTAGCACTTTATTAGCTCAAGACAACCATTAGTTTTAAAACACTTGCCTGTTCTTGAAAAATATCCACACTGCCGCCAGAGTTTGCATTAATGGATGCAACAGCTAAAAGTGGCTGAAGACGGTGCCACGTTATGTGGGTGTGGGGTCCACAGGACTCAAGAGCTTCTATTCGATGATCAATGTAGACCGCCATGGTCAGACGCCTATGAGATAAAGTATTTGTTGTATAAGCAGCTGAAGAGTGAGAGCCAAATATGACACCGAAAGGCAAATTATATGTTGAAACATAAACTAAAGAAATCAAAAATAAATGTACTTTGCACATGGAAGGAATTAATCCCACCCCTTATTTAAGCTCTTAAATTTATTTAAGTAATATATTTATTTTCTTTCTCTATCCTCGAACCAGAAACGAAAATGCACAGAGGGCAAATTCTTGCTTTCCCCCATCTACACACAGATTAAGAGTGCTCCAATTTGCTCCAACCGAAATGTGAGAGAAATGAAGACTCCAAGCAAGCAAATTGTACAAATCACTATCCATCATAAGAGCGCTGTTCCTGTTCAAAGCTGTCCAGAATCCTCTGAAGTGAGTGGCCATATCAAATCAAATCAACTAAATTAAATGTTGCAGATGGTTGCATTTGAAAGGCAAGGAGGAGGTGATGGAGAGGAGGACCCAGAATTGTTGGGGCCAATATATTGACACTATAAACTGCTTAGAGAGAGGGCTGTAAAGCACTGTGAAGCAGTATATAAGTCTAAGTGCTATTGCTACATCATTTAAAAAAAACAACCCTAAAATCTCTTATCAATCAACTCCATAGTCTAGCCTACAGCTCTGAGATTTCCTGGTGGCGTCATGTCCAAACACTAACTAGATCTGATTTCATTTTGCATTTCTTCCAAATTAATGGTGACGGGCAGCTAAATAACAACACACAAGCACACCTAAATCATTTTATTACATTTTCGTGCTGCCCATCTCTCTTACAGGGCAGATAATACAAGCATATCAATCACTAAGAAATAAATTAATCACAAACAGGACACAGGTCCTGCGGACTTCAACTCCCAGGATTCCCCAGCAACCCTTGCAGGCTGAGGAATCCTGGGAGTTGAAGTCCGTCCATCCACAAGTGGCCAAGGTTGATAAATCACTGCTTTAAAGCCTTGCAAAGGGCCAGGAGAGATGATACAGATTGAGGGGGGCGTTTTAAACCATGATTAATTTAAGGGTTCTCCTTTGCTTACCCCCCCCCCCCCATTCCACCCCATTGGGGATCTCCTGTATGGCCGTTAAGCCCAGCTCGATTCCTAGAGACTTCACGGATGCAGCTGTGACTGCGTGACAATAAACACGGCTGTGTGGGGATCGCCTTTGCCTTCCCTCTGGGATGTTTCCCCGATCTGGCAGCCCAGGGATCTCCTGGTGGTCTCCCATCCATGCTTCCACAAAAGCCGCGCTTTTCCTACGGAAGGAGTCCAGGCTTATATAGAAAGCCCCACGGAGCGCTAGTTGGGCCGAAGGGCTTCCTTTTCGGTCCCAACCCCTCCCGCTAGGAAAAGGCCTCGGAAGCAGCGAGGCGAGTCCTCCCGTCATCCCGGACTTCACCGCCTTACCAGCTCCCCGAGTCGGATCCGATCGAGGCCTGCTGGGGCCTATCGGCCGCTTGAAAGAGAGGCTTCGCGTTGCCTTGGCAACGGCGAGCGCCCCGCCCCGGAAATATCCGAAGGGGAAGCGAAGAGAGCCGAAGTGGGGGGGGGGGGGGGGGGGGGGGGGGGGGGGAAAGGAGGTCGGGCGGAAATTGCCGAGCGCTTTCGCGCATCGCTTGCTCGCATAGGCAGTGGAAAAGGCGCTCTTGGGATTTGAAAAACTGGGGTTTTTTTTCCTCTTTCTCTCTTCCGTTTTGGACTTTCTGCCCAAACAAATAATAAACGCACACACCTCGGGTTTTGTTGCTGTAGGTTTTGTTCTTAAACAAGCCAAGACGATTCAGATTCAGTGGCAGTATTTTATTTACAAAATTTATTTACAGAATGACAGAGTTGGAACGGACCTTGTAGGTCATCTAGACCAACTTCCCCGCCCAAGCAGGAGACCCTGTATTTACTTACACACACACACACACACACACACACACACACACACACATATACATATATACATATATGTGTGTGTGTGTCTATGTATGTATATGTGTATAATCTTCTATAACTATAAATTATAGTTTCTTCCAAGGATAATAGAAAGCCTTCGATTTCATTGATTTAATTTTTATAATAGCAATAGCTTTCACAGAATAAAGTTTGCTTCGATTGCGAACAGATCAATAGGGCAGAGTCGCGGGAAAAATAGAACTGCAACCTTTAAAAAAAAAAAAATCGCTCCACCTCTTTCGGCATTGGTCCCTAGCCTTGCCCATCCAACAGGATCCAGCCAATTAATGCTGCCCCCCAAAAAATGACGTATTCCCCTCCCCTTTCTGAATCCCCGCCCATCCCTTCTTCGGAGCCCGTGTAAGCTCCTCCCTCCACCACTTCCGGCACGGCTTGGCTGCCCTCCAATCTCTCTTTCCCTCATCCCCGCATCTCCAACGCGCGCTGGGCCGTCCCGTGTCATCTGTCGCGCGCGGCGCTCCGATTGGTCAAGCCTTTTGCTTCCGCGTCCTCCCCTCCGTTCGACGCCGACCAATGAAAACATTTGTTTGGGAGTCGGGGGGGGGTTGGAAAAACAAAACAAAACAACCCTCTTTCCCCCTCCTTTCCCCCCCCTCTCCCCCCCTTTCTCTTCTTGCCTGTCTTTTTTCTTTCTTTCTTTCTCCCCGCCCCCTTTGGAGGCGGGGCTTGTCGAGCTCTCTCCTCTGGGCCTGCCGGGCTCGCGCGCGCCGGGTCTCTCTCTCCCTCTCTGCCCCCATCTGTGCACGGCGGCGCGTGGCAGCAAACGAGGAAGCGGAAGAAGAAGAGGCAACCGGGGAGCTCGCGGGGCAGGCAGCGGGTGGCGTTGCCAGGCGCCCGCCGGCCCGCCGAGGGGTTGCGGGTCGGAGAAGCCGCCCAGGGCGGCTGCCGGGATCGGTTGCCCTGCCGCCGCCGCCGGTGCCGGAGGATCCCCATGCATCAGGTATAGGACCAGGCCCGGCGTCTTGCATATACCCGGTAGTGTGTGTGTGTGTGTGTGTGTGTGTGTGTGTGTGGTCGTCTATGGGGAGGTGTCTCCTCGCCCTTCCAGCCCGGTCTGTAAAGCAACGCTGGGTTGCTGCAACCCCCCCCCCCCATCAAGGGTGTGCAATGCATATCGGCTCCTGGGATTGACTTTCGCCTTGCAAAGGTTGGATAATCCCGGCCGGCGGGGGCGCAGAGAGGAGATATAATAACAATGGGGACAACCCCCCCCCCCCTCCGCCCTGGGCTGGGCTTCCTAGGAGAGGAACGGTAGCTTGCACGGTGGTCAGCTTCACCGAGGAAGCGAAGGAGGGGCGTTTGCATTAGGAAAGGGGAGGAAAAAAAAGGGAGGGAGAGGTGTCATCAGAGGGGAGGGAATATAAGCCGTGGCGGGAGTAAATATTGACCGACGTAGTATATAGTATGGTGGCAGAGCAGAGGTATCGGTGCAATGGGAGGAAAATGAGTGGGGAGGATGCGGGAAGGGATGGAAATCTGGCAGCCGTGTGAAAGGGGGAAGGAGAAATGATCAGATAAAATTCAATTATTTTTTATTATTATGCAGTTGGGCGTGTTCAGACGGGCCAGTTGTTCCAGTCTGCTGACAATGCCACTTCCCCATCTGGGATATCATTCCCTAAGATATCTAAACAGCAATATTAAAACAGAACATTCGTGATTATTTCAGATTATCTTTAATATGCCTTCTTATGGCCCGTGGATTTGTTTCTCTGCTTCTGTGGAACCGGGTAGCCAGTTCTGCTGATCCCTTGATTATCATGCTGGATGGTTTTCTTGTGCGGCCATTTTTGAAACTATTTCAAGGCTGAACTGAAATGTCTGTCCCCAAATGAATAAAACGCGCAGCAGAGAATGTGATTGTAAAAGCTCATTGCCTTCTAATGCTTTTGGGCATTTAGTTCCAGGGAAGTTGTAGAGCTTCCATCTTGGTATATTCGGTTTTGCAAATGGGCACAAAATAGAATATTTTGCATTCAAGTGCTCCCAAGTGAAGCTTTTGAAAGGAATGTATATGCACTGTTTTCTTGGAAGGTTATTAATATTCTTTGGAGGTGCTGAGTCTTTTGGCTAAAAGCAACTTTCTACTGCTGGTGTCCTTGTTATGCTGGTGACTAGCCCTTTGCCAATGGGTGTATTGTGATTTCTAATTGAAAATATCCTTATGTGTGCTTGGTGGTAAATAAGGACCACTTTAATTCTCAATGTACCCCGAAGAGTGCTTAATTTTTCAGGGTATATTTCCAAATGTCTGATACTCATATGAACTGTGATAGAAGTTGAAAGATATTTTGCTTTGCATCTTTTCCAGTGTTGTCGACTGCATGTATTTCTTTTTTTAAAAGAGAAGGGGTGGTTTATGTGGTTAATATCAGTTCGCAGGTTTCCCCCCTAGAAGGTTTTTTTTTTTCTAAAAAAAAAAAGCAATAACCCAGGGATATAATTGTCAAAAGAAAAAAGTCATGTTCAAATATAGATTACCCCTTTCATGAAAACCTGGCAAGTGAATGGCTCCTGGTTTGAAAAAATGGCTCAACGGAGCCTGGAATCTAAAAGGTTGGGCAGCCATTTATTCCCAATAGTGAAGAGGGAAGGGAAAGTGTTTAGACCTCCCTTGCAAAAATAAAATTCTGAATTCTAACCCACACTAAGTTGTCTTTACGCCCACCCCCACAATAACGCCCCCCACCCATAAAGCTTCTCTCCACCTTTCCAATGCAAGAGTAATAAGTAAGTTCACTAAAAGGGGGTGGGTGGGAGACAGTGATGGGGTGAGGAGGGGGCTGGCCCTCCTAGGCGGGGGTGCCTTCTGCACCCCCAGACCCCCCCTCCCCAACACAACTCCAGGCTTTTGTTCGTCTCCCTCCCTTGCAAAAACAGGAGTTGCGCGTGCCTTTTTTTCCCCAAGGAAGGGCGCGTCGAGAAGAGGGGGCTTCCTTTTTTTTGCTTTTTGAAAAGCGGGGTGGGCGGCAAAAGAAGAAGAGTTGGAAATCTTTGCACTGTCTCTCTGCACCCCCCCCCAACCCCCGTCCGGGAGAAAGAGAGAAAAGGAGGGAGACACATACACACACACTCACAAACACACACACACACACACCCAGAGGCACAGGCAGGCGCACACCCTCGCTCGCAAAGAGAGGAGGAGAAACTGCTGCTGGGTTGCTGCAGCGAGGATCATGAATGCCCCCCCTTCGGCAGCTCGCCTCGCCTCGGCTCCATGGTGAGGAGAAGGAAGAGCCCCCCCGGCCCGGCAGACCCGCACCATGGGTAGGACGGGGCGGCGGGGGTCGCTCGGCGGGGGACGGGGGACCCTCCACCCGCGCGCTCCGGCCAGGCCGCCTCTGCCTTTTCTGCCTTGCCCAGCCACTTCCCCCCCCCCCTCCCCACGACTTGGGCCGCTTCCCCGGGCTCGGCTCCGGAGGGTCTCCAGCCCCAGGCAACCACGTGTGTGGGGGGGGGGGCGCCCGGGTGTGTGTGTGTGGGGTCCCCTTGAGCCGGGCTTCGGGGCCCCCCGCGGACCCTCCTCCGCCCGCGCGCTCGGGTCGGGACGAGAGATGGGAATGGAGTGGCAAACAACGGCGGCCATGTTGAGCGGAATGTCTGCGGCGAAACTTCTCCCCGCGGGGGGGATGGGGGGCGGGGGGGGGGCGGCCGGGCCGGGCCTGGGGAGGCCTCGGCGATGGGGGGGGAGAGACCCCCGTGGGGTGGGGAGGGTCCCTCGGCTGCCGGGCCCGGGGTTTGTTTTGGGTTGTTTTTGGGCCGCCAGCCTCACCCTCTTCTTCCTCCTCCTCCTCCTCTTCTTTTCTTTCCCCCCCCCCCTCCTGCCAGGATGACAGTCAAGCTGGGTGACCACAGCAGCAGCGTTGGAGCCTCCGAGGAAGGCCTGAGGAAGCTGGGCAAGCGAGGAGCCGCCGGCGAGGACGAGGGGTGCCCTGAAGGAGGAGGATGTGGAGGAGACGGGGCCAAGAAAGGCGAGGAGGAGGGGACCCCTCAAGGAGAGACGAACGGGGGTCCCTCCTCGGGAGTCCCAGCCTCACCCCCGGCCTCGTCCTCCTCGGGACCACCACCGGCAGCCCCTGGCCACGACCAGCATCACTTCCTCCGGTCCAGCGTCCGGCCGCAGAGCAAGAGGCTGAGGAAGGATCCCCAGGCATCCTGTGCAGCGGCCAGCAGTGGAACGGGCAGCAGTGGGGGCAGCGCTGCCCCCACGGGAAAAGGAAAAGGTGGGTCATACATGCAGACCCCCCCCCCCACACCCCATCACGCTGGACATGGGTCACACATGCAGACAGACCATCAGCCGCCACAGCCAATGATAGTTCATACAGAAGGAGAATCCGGGGTGAACCCATCACTTGGGAGCAGACCCCAAAATGTATATTATGGGGGTACAGGTGATTTGTCAGACTGGGGTTTTCTTTTCCACCCCAAATTGATCTGGTGGGGTTAAAATCCACCCAGAAGGCTTGGATTCAAATTGGGAAATCCGTTTAGATTGGGAGTGTTGCTTGGTTGTGCTATTCCCGCTGCTTGACTTTTTTTTTTAGTGATTTTGGTTTTTTGTTTTTATCTTCCTTGGATGCTCGAGGTTTAAGTTGGCCCACTCTCGGGTCTGAATGAGTCAAGAATTTAATTGATTGATTGTCGTTATAATCAGCCTTGATAATCTTAGAAGCAGCCTCCTTTAAAAGCCTCAATCTGATCTTTTGGATTGCTGCATGGTGATTGAGTTCCATCGTGGATATATCTAGCATCTGGCGTCCCTGGGCACGGCCTGGTTCTTAGTCAACAAGTGAGTCGCGATGTTTTCTTGTCCATTTCCAGAATATAATTTTTGATGCTTTTCGAGATGCGAAAAGAGAAGCCGTTTGAGTGAATCTGATGTCTCCAGACTGGGAATCTCTTGATCCATTTTTTTGTTGTCTTTAACTGATGGATTGTATAAATTTCTGAATTAGAATCAACTGAGTTAGGGTGGGTTTTTTGTTTTTGTAATCACCAATATTGGTTTTTTGATTAGGGTGCAGTGATAAGTCATTTCCATGGATTTAATTATTTCAGGGTTGTTTTTAATTAACCAGTTGCATTTATGGAAATGGAGATCCGTAGGACTTCTATAAAATGGTCTTCACTGGGTCCTTTTATTAAAAATGTTTTCCCAGATGAACTAGTATATTCAATGGGAGAGATAAATAGCTATAGAGATGTCATTGGAGATGGTTTTTTTAAGACAGCCTTCTACAACTTTGGAACATTTGTTTACGAGTCAAAATTGTAGAATCCTTTATGGGATATTTTTGGCAATAGGGCAGAAAATGTTGATGCCACATCAGATTTGACATTAATCATTTTTGAATAACATGTAGTGAATGATTTCATAATAGGTGACTTGTGGAGTTTTATCCTCAAAACTGGATTGTGTGAATCCATCCAGTTTTCAGTTATTTAGTGAAGGGCAGTTAAATATATCATATTTTAACATGATATACTAAACTTGTCAAAGCTCTATGAAACTTCAGCATAGTTTCATCAAAGAAATACTTTATTGTCCTTTCCACTACTAAAACATTTGTACTCACATTTATTTCCTGAAATTCTTTCATCCTAATGCTATAGGCCACTTAGTGTAAACATGTACATATAGTGGAAGTGAAATAGACATCACAAAGTACCTTTGCTTTATCTGATTATAGGAAGTGCTACTTCCTTATGTGGATGTGTCTTTTTGGAATGCAACATTTCACTTAGATGTACCTTATGACAATCTAAGATCAACATATATGTACTTATTAATTTCAAAAGAAGCCTTTGCCATATTCAGCATCCTAGATCTAATTCTTACAGTTAGAGTCAAGGAAAGATGTTTTTGACAACATGGACCTAGACTTCAATTCCCAGAATTCCCCAAACAGTGTACCCTTTACAGAGAATTGTGGGAATGCAGTCCTAAGTGGGAAACCCAGGTATAGACGAGTACAGGTATTTTTTCCAGAGTGCTGGATGGAAAATTTTCATTTGCTGCCTAATCCTTCTAACTGGAGCCTAAATCTTGCGTATTCCGCAAGCAGAGTCTATGCTGCACAATTGAATTCAATACATTTCTGCAGGACTCCTCTTGGAATGAATGGAAATTCTACCATACTGTGGAGTCCTCAGTGCTTTCTAAACGTGGTTATTTTCTTGCAGATTTTTCATTACCCAACCAGGAAACATCTTCAGTGCTAGGACCGTCTTCTACCATAACATGGCTGCATGTTAATACAGCCTTATTTTTTTTAACAGCGTAGTTAGGAATGTATAAATTTGGAGCTGGTTTCTCATCCTTGAGATAAATGTAGTGAAAGCGGTGGTGGTGGTGGGAGTCTTACTTTTTTTCAACAGAACAACATGCTTCAGCAGTTGCAAGAACAGCCAGGAAAGTGCTTGCATTTCCACATGTCTTTGATGTGTTGAATCTGATAATGAAGTAGGCTACTTTAATCACGAATTAACAATGAAACGCATCTCGTCCAGTGTAGGACAGGGGTCTTCAAGCTTGACAGCTTTAAGACTTGCGGACGTCAACTTCCAGAATTCCTTCTCCAGTCACGTTAGCTCGGGAATTTCTGGGAGTTGACGTTCACAAGTCTTAAAGTTGCCAAGTTTGAAGACCCTTGGTGTAGGAGGTAAGGGAAAATAAATGAATGGAGGCACGGCGTCATTTCAGGTTTTCATAACAGCACAGTATCCTTGTGAAGAAGTTGAAACTATAATTTGGGAGACTTAATGACTGTCCCTGTTTGAACCTTGAGAGATTAACAGGGACTTTGAGCCAGTCAGACCCTGTCAATTTCCTTCACAGGTGTACCGTGGGAATAAAAGGAAGGGACGGCCCAAATTCTACCTATACCACTCTCCACTGCCAGAAAAATAGAAGGAAATAAATGCAATACATATGCCATGCCCAATAGTTTTGTAACTTGCACACAGGTGAATATTGGATCAGAAATCTTTCAAGTGAAGTTAATGACAATAAGGTTCCCGTTGGTCATTTTGGTGAGATAAGGAACAGATCATTTCCAACATCCTCCTCCCAAATTTCACTGATACTCTTTTCTTGCATGCTAGTTAACTGGAATAATCTTGATTTAAGTGATTGTTCCCTCTGCTTATATTTGAGGGGAATTGTAAAAGAGGAGAATTATTTCCCCCAAATAAGAGATCTTACTCCTGCCTGCCGTTCCTCTTTTTTCTGGTATATCTTTTTAAGGACGTTCCTGTCCCTGCAAAGGCTGTTTTGAGGGCTTATCCAGTATAGTTTTCATTAGTTTAAATTGCGAGGTGATGGTAGAATTATTCCTTTTTATAGGCATATAAACTCCCAATTTACTAAGGTTTTATATATGGCATGATTATCGTTATTACCTTGGCATTGCTCCATTTCTAGCACAGCATTCATATTTCTACTTAACCGAATCATGGCTTACTTAACCCGGCATCTGGACTTTTCGTATCCTATCCAAGTAGAAGTCAACCACATTGGATAGATCCACGTATCATTCTTTAATTTAGGAGAGGAAGCTTGAGGCAGCATGTCTACATATTTGTAAGGCACTTGGGTGAAAGATGGGAAAATTTGAGGCTCGATGTATTGTGTGATCGCAACCATTATGGGCCACACAAATGGTCTCTCTCTCTGAATAGATAGGTATTTGATTCCTTAGTGAGCATTGTCCAATTTTAGGTATGTTTATTTAGAAATTCTTATTTGGATTCGCCCATCATATTAAGCCACACTGTGGTTTGCTTGATTTGGGTTTAATTTGTTGTGTGAACTTATCGGCTGTGATTTGTTCAATAGACTATAGTTTATTCAATGTGTGAAGCCTGACATTAAATGGAATAAACCAATATTTGTGCAAGTGTAGTATAGAGGAAGGTACATTTTATGGCATACACACACACTCTCTCACACACACACACAGTTTGATAAACCTCATGTTACACATCAGTTTTTTATTAAGACTATAACTCTTTCTTAAATAAACAGATGCTTTAAAATGTCAGCGTTTGCCGATACCTTCGACTATTTCAGTCCTATTTCAGTCCGCTTAACATTTTTACCATTTTTTAAAAAATATTGCTGACAGACCTTTAAAAGAAAGTGCACCGAGGGTTTGTACTTCAATTGAAAAGTAATATGAATTTGGTACACGTTGAGGTTTAGTTAAAAGAAAAAAGAAAACGTCCTTTGTCGAGCTTTTTCCTTCGTCCAGATGTTCACCCTTTGTTAGCCATGGTTTTGAACAGGTTCTATTTTCTTATTGAAGCTGTGTTAGTCTATTGCAGTACAAAACACCAGGACATCTTGTGGCATTTTTAAAGAGAAACAGATTTATAGCAGCAGAAGCTTTGTAAGATACAGGCTTTAGTGCTCCAAGTGTCTGAATATCATGCATGTTGCAGAAAGGTTTTGGCGTGGAATCCTTGCTTGCTTTGGTGGGCTTGGGAGTCCATTTTGTGCTCAGCTACTAGAGGACATTTTTGTTCTTTAGGGACTCCTCCTTTTAAAAACCATGGAAATGTCTTCTGGGGATGTTCAAGAGAGGTGTCAGGAGAGGAATCAACAACATGCTTGTTAAAACCAGTATTTAATTTTAAATTGTTGCTGGTTATTCCTTTCCTGCTGCTTTCTGCTTTTCCTTCGACTCTGCTGAACAGTGTCTAAACATTGGGCTAGGAAAATCTTACAAATAACTTTGTAGTCAGCAAAGAAATGCCTTATTAAAGGATCGATTCAATATGTCTAAAGAGAGAAAAATTCTGTTTAATATTTATTACTTGCCATACCTAGAAGGAGAACTCCTCTGATGTAAAAATTTCAACATTTAACTCCTTAAATTATTAACCTTATTAATTGCTTCTAATGAATGCACGGTGTGTATTCTGAATGCAAACTATTAGGCAGCTGTTTAATGTGAAACCAACCGATTGTGAACTGTCTTTTCCAAAATTTTGAATATTTGGGAGAATTCTTGATTACTATAGTTGGATGGTGTGCTTACATGAATGATCCTTATCTTTAGGTGTAAAAGACTCTTAATCCCCTAGGCATAAACTATCTTTTGAAGCTGTTCTTATGCCTAGAATATTTTGCATGGGTTGACTATTGTTTATTCTCACGTTTATGCTAGCTTATAGACCTGGCAAGATGGCTATTACAAATAAATACACTTCACGTTTATAATAATATTTCCATTATTCACTTGAGTCGTGCCCTCATGGACACGACTGAGATTGTACCACTTTTTTTTTTTTTTTACAACCAACTTGTCAGATCTCTGTATCTGTATGCCATACATATGACACAGTTTATAGTTTCTCTGAAAGCGCTAAATTGAGTAGAAGATACTCAGGCAAAATTGTACATGGAGCCTGTGGGTTTTACACATTACAAGACGCAATCCTGCTAAAGAGCATAGAAAGTAAATCATTCAAATTGTCAAAAACCTTTGGAGTACGATCAGAAATCGGACTAGCTAAATTATTTTGTCATGATTTAAGAGTGTCGCTGGTTTGGTCTTTAAAGAGAATGGAACTTACTTTTTGGGGGACTACGAGTTCTAAATTTTACCTATGAATGGGTAGAACAATTCAATTAGCTTTTATAGTTAAATAGACAATTGCATTTTCTTGATGCTGCCTCTTGACATTTCTCACCAGTACAGAGCCTGTGCAAATTCTTCAGCACCGAAGGCCAAATGTAACGCATATCATAAGGCAGAAAAGTATACCTAATATGCTTATTCTTTGCAGATCAATAACATCAATAGGTTGGGAAAGAGACGTGTCTCATTGAGTATGTCTACCCTCTGAATGACTTCAGAGCTAGTTCCTATACCTCCATGTAGAGGCTGTTGCAATGCACTCTTTTGGGGACTCCCTAAAACTGTTGTAATACCTGTAAATGATTTGTCACCTGGTTTGTTTGACCTCATTCCTTGAGGAATCTCCCTGCCAGTTTATCATGCTGTTTTGAAAGCACGGGTGCGTGGAAATTTCTCTGTAGCTTTGACCCATTAGGTTGTCCCTAGGTAAGTGACTTAAGCGCTAGTAAACAATGCAACATGGAGTATGCCTACTCCAACATGATTTTTAGCAGCCGTGTGGTGGACTCATAACCCCTAACAACAGAAAACAATATAGGGAGCCCTCGACTTACAACAATTTGTTTAGTGACCAAAGAGACTTATGAGTGTTTTTCACATGACCGTTGCAGCATTCCCATGGTCATGTGATCAAACTTGGAACACTTGGCAACTGGCAGGTATTTATGACGGTTGCAGCGTCTCAAGGTCACATGATCCTCTTTTGAGACCTTCTGATCAGCAAAGCCAATGAGGAAGCCAGATTCACTTAACAACCGTGTTACTAATTTAACAAGGGTGATTTCTTTTAACCACTGTCTCACTAAGAAAGGATGTAAAATGGAGCAAAACTCACTTAACAACTGTCTTGCTTAGGAACATAAATTTTGGGCTGAATTGTGGTTGTAAGTCAAGGAATACCCGCATGTTTATTCATTTCATGGTGATGGTTCTAGGACAATAATCAATGTGAGCTAATATCTGTAAACTAAAACAGCCCTGAAATCTTGATAGGGTCTTTGTTTGAGCTAGAAATAAATTAACAGGACCGTGATAAAAATCAGCCAGATAATCACACGCAACCATTTCTCGCTTGTGATCTGTGGAGTATATCTTCTAACACGATACTCTGCTCAGAACAAATGGATACGTGTTGTTTGAACCATACATAAGTCTCAAAAGGCTAGACTAGGAATAAAAACAGAGGCACATATTTAAAGGCACCTGTGGATCTGTGGCATCAGCCATTCACCCACTTGGACTGGGATTGGATCATGCTGTCAAAATTAGAGCACGGGGTTTTTGTACACAAAGTCTTAGTTTTCACCACATTAAAAATCTCGTTATGTAGGACAAACTTTCCTGACCCATGGCCTCGTCTCCTAGAAAGCACGCCCAGGTTTCAACTGTTCTTGTTAAGCTTCCTAGTTTTGTTGATTCGAATTTTCTCTCCGCTTGACCTGAATTTCTCCAGTTGTTTGATAAATTGGATGGGGTTGCTCTTCCATTCAGGATTCCATCCGAAGGTGATCTCAAACAGATTGGATAATGGGCTGCGCGGGCTGATTTTTTCCCCCCCTTCCATGCTTGTGATAGAATTGAATTGAATTGAATTCTTTATTGGCCAAGTGTGATTGGACACACAAGGAAATTTTCTTGGTGCAAACATTCGCAAAGATACATCTCATCTCATTTTTTGAACTATTACCATCTGGCAGACGGTACAGGATAATAAAAACAAATAGGCTGAAAAACAGCTTCTATCCCAGGGAAGTAATTCTATTGAATTCTACTGTATAGTGCAATATTAATGCAATATCAGGGGTTTTCAATTCAGTGTATAGAAGGTGAAGGATCTGTGTTAGTGTTTATTTTCATAGTCATAATGTACACTGAAAATGGTATTTAATTTCATTGTACGAGGTGCAATGACAAAAAAGTAAAGTAAACTAAACTAAATTTTAATGGTGATAGAAGAAAAACTCATTTAAATTAGAGCTTTCAGAATACTTGAGGATGCTCAACATACTACGTGGATTTTTTAAAAAAACAATTGCATGTATGTGCCTGTCTGTGGAAGACAGCTACAAGTCTGCTAAAAAAAAAAAGCTTGGTTAATTTGCAGCAAACAAGTTACAACACCCCATTCCTGTAGACTTATTCAGCAAGAGTTGCATTGGTGTTGCTGGCAAAAGCTGGCTTATAAAGCCCTTATAAAGCAGTAGATCTCCTATGTAATTAATTACAGGCCATTGATAGTGTTTAATTACTCTGTCTTAACCTTGCAACCTCCACAACGGCCCAAATCTTTTCTTGTTCCTTCCGGAGTAAGTTGACTTCTTTGAACAACCCATGTCATTCCTTTCTCCAACCTGTGCTATGCAAAATACGTTTGTGCGATGTCACACCCTATCAAAGACAATGACGGCAGCAGTCCAGCATCATTTCATCTGTGTGTATGTGTGCCATCTTGGATTATGCCCTCAAAGCAACACAGGTGACATTTCATCCTGGGATATGCATCTCATAAATAGGAGTGGTGCAGTGGCCTAGAGTTGGAGCTCTCGCCTTACAGTCAGGAGGCTGTGAGTTCGATCCTCGGTAGGGGCAGATATTTCTCTCTCTGGTTACAATGAGAATAAATCTGCTGAACAAAACTTTGCATTGGCCATAGGAAGGGCATATCCCGCCATTAAATACCCTGCTAGCTCCATTCAGTTGCCCAGATTCCACCCTGCAGGGGATTATGGGGTCATTAAAATGATGATGATGATATACATTTATAAATAAATGCACTTTTTAGGCTAAAGTTCTTTTTAAGAGTTATATCCTGCTTTCCGGCTGCACTAAAGTTTGTGAAAAGTCATCTAAAATGAACAATGACTCCAGCATCCCATCTCTGTGCTACAATGTGGGGGGTTTGTTGGGCTGACCCTTCCCTTTTCCCGTCCTCAAGGTGCAGATAATGGCGGGACGTCATCTGGCAACTCCTCAGGAATCCCGTCCAGCACCCCGGCCGGCAGTTCGAAATCAGGTTCCAGGAACCTGAGCACATCAACCGGAGAAAAAGAGGAAGGCAAGAAAGTGAGGCGTCAGTGGGAGTCCTGGAGCACGGAGGATAAGAACACCTTCTTTGAAGGCCTCTATGAGGTGGGTGCTTTAAAACGCTGGGAACTGCTGCAGGTCTCAACTCACAGCAGTTCATTTAGTTACAACGGCACTGCCAAAAGCGATTTACGGCTGTTTTTTCACCCTTATGACCGTTACAGCATTTTCATGACCAAATTTTGGGTGCTTGGCAACTGGTGTCAACTCGTACAAAAATACTTCTGTGGTCTTTTTAGAGTTGCCAACAGAAAGGGAGGAGAGGGAGCAGTGGGCAGCTCGCATTCCATAAATGTTTTCAAAGATAGTAACTAGGTGACTGAAGTTTCTGCCGTGCAAAATTCTAACTGGAGAGCATGATTGATGACTCTTGGCTAAGGAGGTGTCCCGTTGGAGCATATGAATTATGATACACCCAGGGGGTGGGGGAAAACCAGGGGCAAGGGTGACAATGAAATGTGTGTCTCAGAGTCAGCTACACCCAGGCAACGCCGGCATGTTTACTCCTAATAAATCTTCTTTAAGTTCTGGAAGGTCGGCTCGAGACTCGTCATTTAAATGGGGGTAACTTTCGGAGCCCTGACAGCCAGTTCATAATTATGACAGTCACAGTGTCCCAAGGTTGTATCATCCCCTCTTGCAATCTTCTGACAAGTCAGTGGGGAAGCCAGATTCCCTTCGCAACCAGGTTACAAACTTAGCAACCGCAACGATTCCCTTAACAACTGCAGCAAGAAAGGTCATAAAACAGGTCAAAAAACCCCACTTAACAGATGCGTCACTTAGCAGCAGAAATGTTGTTCTCAATTGTGGATGTAAGTACTGTACATCCTGCACCAAAGACACACAGGAGCAGTCTTTTAAGGTACGCTTTAAAACCCGTCCAATATTTTCCTGTTGTGAGAAGTAGTCGAACGGTACAGGTAAATCCTCGAGTTACGACCATCATCAGGACCAGAATTTTGTCTTGCTATGCAAGGTGGTGGTTTAAATGAATTGTGCCCAACTTTGCAACCTTTTTTTTCCAGGGTGGTTAAGCAAATCACGGCAGTTGTTATGGGAATCGTGCAAATGTTAAGCAAATCACAGCTTCCTCCTTTGGCTTTGCCGGCTGGGAAGGTCGCAAATGGTGATCACATGACCCTCAGGACGCTGCAACAGTCATAAGTACATGCCTGTTACCAAGCGCCTTGATTTTGATCATGTGATGGCGAGGATGCTGCAGCAGTTGTAAATTCAAGGACCGGTTATAAGATTTTTTTTCCCCCAGTGCCATTGTAACTTTGAATGGCTGCTAAACAAACAGTTGTAAGTCAAGGAGTTACAACTGTATACTCCACTTATGTATCTAAGCAGTCTAAAATACAGTGGAGCCTCGGGTTGCAACCGTAATCCATTCCCAGACTCCGGTTGCAACCCAATTTGGTCATGTCTGGAAGCATGACCGACTGCGCATGCGTGCAGTCAAAAAAAAAACGGGCACTGAAGGGTAAATCGGTGCAGAAAGGGAATCTTTCCACGCCGATTTTGTTCACCACCCAATTTCTGAATCGTGACCCGATTAAACAATCAGGTGAATTTTTTGTTTGCCACCCGATTTGGTCGCGAATAGGAACGTTTGTGAACCTGAGATTCCACCATACATACGTTATCCCAGCATTTTGAAAGTATTTATTTTGAATGAATCGTAATCTACCAATGGTGTTTCACCTATGTTTCAGCTGCACTGTCTGGGTTCCTGGAAGTTATAGTATGAGGAAATTCACCAGAATTTTGTCTATTTAATTCTATGGTTAAATAAGATTAAATTAAATAATTAAATAAAATAAATAAATAAAAATTACATAAGATTAAGATTAAGAAGGGTAGATTTCTACCTGTGCGTTTTGTAGGATTCTGAATGCTAGCATCCAAACAGAAAACCTGTTTTCTCTAGCCATTCCGAAATAAATGTCGAAATTCTAGAAACCTGAAGAGCCTTTTGACGGATTTTCTGCAGAAAATCACACGTAAATGTAGATTTCAAACTGTCTAAGTGCTATGATGTGAAAACACATCCTTTTCCCCCAAATCTACAAACCTTTGACCCAACTCTGGAAGATGTGTGTCATCCAATTATTCTTGCCGCCTTGCTTCTCACATTGTAATATGTGCATTTTTTTTTCCAGCATGGCAAAGACTTTGAAGCGATTCAGAACAATATTGCCCTGAAGTACAAGAAGAAGAGCAAGCCCGCGAGCATGGTGAAGAACAAGGAGCAGGTCCGGCACTTCTATTATCGCACTTGGCACAAGATTTCCAAATACATTGACTTTGATAACGGTGAGCAACCCCCTGAAAGGTTGGCTTGGCTTCTCCGAATGATGGTGCAACAAGCTAGTGTACTTTAGGTTTGGACGGACAGCTGGTAGATAGGGAGTAGTAAGGAGTGTTTAGGATTTGCCCAGAGCATTCTTGTTCAGACCAATCAGGCCTCCATCCAATGGAGTTTTGCCCCATTTTATGAGTTTTCTTGTCGCACTTGTTAAGTGAGTCGCCGCAGCTCTTAAAATTAGTAGCATGGTTCTTAAGCGAATCCAGTTACCCCGTTGGCTTCGCTTGTCAGAAAGTCGCAAAAGGAGATTGCACGACTCCAGGGCAATGCAACCGTCATAAACACGAGTCAGTTGTCAAGCATCCAAATACAAACCATGTGTCCATAGGGATGCTGCAATGGTCATGTCTGGAAAAATGGTCATAACCCGCTTTTTTCAATGTCATAATTTTGAACGGTCACTAAACGAACTATCGTAAGTCAAGGACTCCTTGTATTAGTACAGTGCTTCCGTGGTGAAGGATTTGCTGGTGACATCTGTGTTGTCTGGGAGACACCCAGTTCATGCATCCCCCTTGAAGTTGCTCGCCAAAGTGGTATCTGTTTATCTATTCGCAGTCACCTGCTTTCAAACCGCTGGATCATGTGATGGGAGTGTCAGCTTTGGAAGCCATATTGAGATCAGATGCTCCCACGCTGCCACATTTGAGCCTGGGAAAGTGGGAGGGAGGAATTTATTGGAGTATATCTAGTTAGACATAATAACACTCTTTTTCTGATTCAAGGTCAGGTTGTTTTGCACATAAGTGAGAGGACGTCTTAACTTGGGATGGATGGTGATTGGGGCATGTGATGTGATGAAGGGTGCAGGGGATGGATTTTGTAGTTTTTACTTATTGTAAGGAAGCCCGGAACTTTCAGATTTGGGATTCCCCAGTTGTGCCAGTTACTATCCAAATAAAAAGGAACCTTTGAGAAGATGTCTGTCTAGGAGTTACTCGGCGGAATGGAGGGTTACTGGAATGCTGACAGGGACCCCGCCCCACGGCAGCAATGGGTCTTGAACGTGAGGCTGCCAATCATCAGCCCAGCATTCTAACCTCGTGAGCCACCACGTTCCTTCAGTTATCATATAATGGGTAAACTAAAAAAAACAGTATTGAGGATAGAAGAATTACACAGCAGCATAACATTTTTTTATATCTTGAATAATCAAGATATAAAGATAAATGTGGGCTTAGGTGCCCGTGTCAATCTAAAACCAGCTATGAAATGTATCCCTTTATCGAACAATAAGTTAATATAAATTGCAGGGAGACCTACCCGGATCAGGTATATGGTGAACATAAATGTCAGTATTTGTCTGCTAGATTCTTTTTTAAAAAAATAAAAGGTTGTTGAGTCTTAGTTTAATCCAATCACGTGCAAGTTTGTGGTATATTCTTTTCCTTGAACACCTGTGTTTTTCTTTCTTTTGCAGTGTTTTCTCAAGGGCTGAAAAAATCCTCCCTTGAGCTTTATGGCTTAATTTGTTATGGGGAGCTCAGAAAGAAGATTGGGGGCTGTGAGTATACTGTTTTTCGATGCTGTGGAATTAGAAAGTACGGGGGCTTGCCTCTTTATCTGCCGTGGAAAACCCGCTTCCCGACCATTTTGCCAGATGTTCCTAATTTTTCCCTCTTCAGTATTTTGCACATTGCTCTGCAGTGTGCATTTCTTTGGCTTTGTGTGGGAGAGATTTCCAAGCATAATCTGCAGTTTGCTCTTTCACGCAGAGTAGAAGGAAGCAGAAAACATGCCAGCAAGCATCTGTTATTTGTGGGTGTCATTTCACAAACAATGAGAAATCTGCTCATCCTTGCCTAGCAGAAGGATATAAGAACTGCGCAGGATGACTTATGCGGAATTGAAAGCAGGGATCATATCTGACTACAGATGAGGAATGAAAACTAAAATGCATTCTGAGTAGCTTTTCTTTAAAAAGGAAACAATCCACTCAGTATCCGACTCGTCTCATCTAAAGTGACCATGCAATATTTGTATTTGGTTTTATCTTACGCTCTGGTCAAAATTAGCAAATACGACTTGTCCTATTTAATCATTGGAAGTAAGAAATGTTTACTCCTTACTTCCAATGTTTATTCCTTACTTCCTTATTCCTGCTGGAATTAGATATGTCTAGTTCAATGAAAAGAAGGACTAGGGGAGACATGATAGCAATGTTCCAATCTCTCAGGGGCTGCTACAAAAGAAAGGGAGTCAAGCTATTCTCTAAAACACCTGAGGGCAGGACAAGAAGCAATGGTGTATGGAAACTAACCAAAGAGAGAAGCAACTTAGAACTAAGGAGAAATTTTCTGACAGTGAGAACAATTAATCAGTGGAACAGCTCGCCTTCAGAAGTTGTGGATGCTCCAACACTGGAGGTTTTTAAAAAGATGTTGGATAACCATTTGTCTGAAGTGGTGTTGGGTTTCTTGCCTAGGCAGGGGGGTGGAGTAGAAGACCTCCAAGGTCCCTTCCAACTCTGTTATTCTATAGATTCTGCCAATTAGAAAAGGCTTGTAGGACCTTTTACATTTCTCACTGGATAATGATTCTTTAAAGGAACTTTGCCTTGTGTCGAAGGAAAGCTGCCTGTGGTTGTTGCAAGAAATGGCCCGTGTCCATGTTTGGTTTTGCAACATATTTTGAAACAATTCTGCTGGACCACGTGGATCTCTTCTATTTCCTTTATTCGAAGAAGTCTGGGCTGTCGTTTGACTTTTCTCACGTTTTCTTTTACTCTCTTTTAACAGTTGTGCGCAGTCCTTCGTATACAATTAAATGGTACATGTTTGATGCCTAAAATGCGTTTTCTAGAGTAACACGAAGAATCTTGCTCTGTTGATGTTTAATTAAAATAATATCATCCCCACCCCAATCCCGGAATGACAAATTTTGTAGTGATAAAGATGGTCCTCGACCTGTTGTGCAGTCATGTTTCGTTTTTTATATTCTGCCCATGATTTTGATTTTTTTCATATTCTCTAAAGGCATGGATGACAAAAATGCAGCTAAACTCAATGAGCTGATCCAAGCTGGGTGAGTAGTTTATTTTGAAACATGATCTCTGTCACGAATAATGGCAAACATACATGTCCCAGGATCTACGTTGCAGAATCCAAGCTGGGTCGGTCACCGAAACCTGAGCTTTTGTCTTCCGAGTTTTCAGGAGAGAAGTTACCTGAAGAGGATCATGACAAAACAAAAACTCTGTCCTGGTGACCGATCCAGATTGGATGATTGCTGTCGTTTACATCTCTCTCTCTTTCACGTTACAAATGCTCAGAACATAATGTTTGTTACCTTGTACTCTGTCAAGTGACTGATGGAACTATTTCAGTATATTTTGCACGTTTGTAAGCTGCCTAAAATACTTTGGAGAGGGGTAACTGTCATTGAGCTAAATAATAATTACATTAACATGATCATCAAGAACGACCGAATGCTTGCTTGAGATTTTCAGTGAGAAAATGGTCCTGCCCTTGATTTGGACCCTATAAAGATAAATATTTGCTACTGGAAGGGAGTAGATGGTGCCAAAGATTTTTGTACTTTCCTGGTGGTGTCTAGTGGTTAAGACATCAGGGTAGAAAGGAAAAGAATGTGAGTTCTAGTCCCTCCTTAGCCATGAAAACCAGCTGGGTGACTTTGGGCCCATCACCAGGAGACAGTGAGTTCTAGTCCTGCCTTAGCCATGAAAACTGACTGTGACTTTGGGCCCATCACCAGGAGATGGTGAGTTCTAGTCCTGCCTTAGCCATGAAAACTTGACTGTGTAACTTTGGACGCATCACCAGGAGATGGTGAGTTCTAGTCCTGCCTTAGCCATGAAAACTTGACTGTGTAACTTTGGGTGCATCACCAGAATAGTGGGAGTTCTAGTCCCATCTTAGCCATGAAAGCCAGATGGGTGACTTTGGGCCTGCCACACACTCTGAACCCACTTCACCTCGCACAGTTGTTGTTGTGAGGAAAATAGGAGGAGGTTGTGTTGGATACCTTCGCCCCCTCCTCCCCCTGAGTTATTTGTAAAAATAACCAAGGCGGGCTATAAATAAATCAGGTAAAATAAAACTTCAAGCCTCTCACCCCCCTTTTAACATTCTTCCTAGAGCTACAACGGTTCGCTACAAAGGCAGGAACCTTCGTATCAAGGCCCCCATGTGCCGGGCTCTGAAGAAGCTCTGCGATCCAGATGGTACGTCATAAATTCTGGGCAGGAAAGCTGCTTGGCGCAGCTGGCAAGGAGGAAGACCTCCGTGTTCCACCAGACCTGCCATCCGCCGTTTCAAGGCAGATGGTGGGAAGCACCAGAGATAAATTAGATACGCGAACCAGGCACGCGTTTTATTTTCAAGCCTCGGGAAGCTGGTCTGAATCGTCCGATTCTTTTAACATTTTCTATTATGGGCCGTCCCCGAATTACGACCACAATTGATCCCGAAAATTTCTGTGGCTAAGGGAGACATGGGTGAAGTGAAATGTGCCCTCTTTTATGACCTTTCTTGCCCTCATGGATTGAATCATTGCAGTTGTTAAATTACCTGTATTTTATACCTGTTCAGGTATTCTGGGTCCATGTTCCAGTTGTATAATTGTAGAGCAGGTTGCTTTCCCTCTCCTCGATCTTCAAATCATACAGCAATCCCACGGGTAATGCACTTTACAGGTAGTCCTCAACGTACGACTGTTTAATGACGGCTCAGGCTTACAACAGCCTTGGAAGAAGGGCCTTTCTTATGACCTATAGCAGTGGTGGCTAACCTTTTGAGGCTCCTGTGCCAAAAATTGTGCGTGCGCTTGCACGCTCATGTGCCAACAACCAGAAGGCAATACCCCCTAGCATGCGTGCACAGCCCCCCCCCCCACACACACACCGCCCCCTTACCTGCACTGCACCTCACAGCTGATTTTCAGCCGGTGTGAGGCCTTTTTCGGCCTCCCAAAGGCTTGAGGAAGGCTTCTGTAGGTGGAAAAACAGGAAGTGATGAAACTAGTGTGGACTAGTTTTCGGCCTCCAAAGCCTGCAGAAGCCTTCCTCAAGCCTTTGGGAGGCCGAAAAGGGCCTCAAACCCACCGAAAATCAACTGTGAGGCGCACACACGCGCAGTGAGGTAAGTTTTCCTGCAACTCGTGTGACGGCACAAATGACTCTGCGTGCCACCTGTGGCATGTGTGCCATAGGTTCGCCATCACAGACCTATAGGCACTTAGGACTGTCACGCCACTCCTGCCATCCCATGATTGCAATTCAGGTGCTTGGCTTACATTTACACCCGATTGCAGCATCCTGCGGTTATGTGATCATGATTTGTGACCATATTTTTGCCCGCTTCTCGGGGGGGTGGGAATACCCCATTGGTAAAGTTGGCTTCACTTAACAGCTGTGTGGCTCGTGTAACAACCACCATCAAAATTATCATTAAACGGCGTGCGACTTCACAAATCGGGTGCGACTTCACAGAAATTCCCAGCCCAATTGTCATAAGTCAAGGACTACCCAGTATTTCCCTCCAGTGCAGCTTGTCAGGGATGATAGTTTGATCTCCTTCCTGTCTTCCAACAGCCCTCTTTTCAAGTTACCATATATGGGCATGTTTCTCTTATGCTGTTGCTTCCAGCCCCATCATTTCATTCCTTCAGCCCCACCCCAGCGAGCACAAGCTTGCAATGAATAAAGCCACTTGGTTTCCTTGCTATGTTACCTGACGTTACCTTCCATTTGTCCTCTGCCTGAAGCCTAGAGGGATTATTTGTTTCTCAGCCCAAATAAAACCTGTTTTTGATTATCGATAGACATATATCCTCTTAGAGTGTCCTAAACCTTCAGTTACTTACTAGAGGCGAGGTGGCAGAGTGGTTAGAGTGCAGTACTGCAGGCTATTTCTCCTGACTGCCAGATGCTTGCAATTTGGCAGTTCGAATCTAAAATGAGGCAAAGCTCAGTTAACAATTGTCTGGCTTTTAGTAACAGAAATCTGGGGCTCCGTTGTGGTCATAAATCAAGGAGTACCTGTAGATTGTTCTCTTGATGTGCGATTTCCCCCGAGCATTTTGCTTAACCGGGCTCACAGGTAGGATTTCGAGCGGTGGTTGGTTTCAAAAACTTTTTACCACCGGTTCGGTGAGCGTGGCTTGCTGGGCGTGCTTTGCACACGTTCAGACATTTTGCACAGGCGCAGAGGTGTTCTAACTCGCCTCCTGCAAGCCTGCACAATCTCGGTCGCTTCAGCAGCTGCTACGTGGCACTCTTCTCTGCAGCTGCGCTTCAAATTTAGCGGATAAAGGGTGAGTATGGGAGCGCGGGCAGGCGGGCCCAACAGCAGAGCGGGGGAGAGAACCGATTCCATCTCCGCTGCTCATCGCTCCTACCAGCTCTCCAGAACCGGGCAGAACCGGTCGAATACCACCGCTGATTTCGAGCATCCCTTCTGCTGTGTCCTACAGGTATAAGTGATGAGGAAGATCAGAAGCCTGTCCGTCTTCCCCTGAAGGTCCCTGTGGAACTGCAGCCACGGAACAACCACGCATGGGCCCGTGTGCAGAGTCTGGCCCAGAACCCACGTCTCAGGTCCTTCATAAAGGCTGGCTATGGGAGGTGGATGGGTAGAACCTGGAGCCTTGAAATTGGATTCACAGCAACAAGCAAAATAAAGCGGCTGTCTCATTTGAGCAGAGAGTTTGGGATGTCGCTGGGCATGTTCTACAAAGAATTTGAGCCATTAAAAACAAGAAGGGGAAGATTGTAGGGTTCCCCCCCCTCCTGTTAAAATAGGTGTTTCGGGGACCCCCTGTCCCGTGCTGCTGTTCTACGCCACTGTTTTATTTTTACCCTACTTCCAGTGCAGTAATAAAATCCTAGGTTGGGTTGTAGGTAGAGAAAGGGAAGGGCGATGTTTGTTTTGCTTACTTAGTGATACTTGGTTCCCTCGCTAACAATATCCCTTATTTTCTAATTCTTCTATTCTTTCTTCCATGACTTGACAGAATGATCGTGGAGCTGCATCGGAAGGTATCCAGCCTCATTGAATTCCTGAAACAGAAATGGGCTCTCCACGAAGTGCGTATCGTATCCTTTCTCTTAACGCAGAAGTTAGTGGGATGGAATGTAGTCTGGATTCCCGGGAGGGAGGGAGGGGGTTGCCTTCCACAGGAACAAGAGACATTGCAGTTAAGACAGTTTGTGTGGGAAAAATAGGATGAAGACAACTCCTGCCTAAAAGTTCCCAGAGTTTCTGTTTAATAGTGCAAGTAGTCGGTTTTAGTTTGCCAAGATTTTTGCCTGTCGTTGTGGAATAATAAAGGAAGCTACTCAGAAGAACCTCCACATTTTAGAGGATTTTAGGGCCTGTTTTAATTAGTTTCTTCCTTGCTCCAAAAATGGGCATTTTTAACATTACAGGCAATCCTCGACTTAACAACCACAATTGAGCCAAAAAAAATTCTGGAGGTCTTCTAGTCCAGCCCCCTGCTCAAGCAGGAATACCTATACAATCTCAGACAAGACTGTCCAGTCTCTTCTTAAAAACCTCCAGTGATGGAGCGTGCCCATGATTTCTGACTTATTAGTAGCCCTCCTCCTCCTCTCTTCAGGGCTTCCAACAAAGTGGCACTGACTTTATTTGGGGTTTATGGGGAAATATTTGCAGGTATGGCCTGTCCTTTTTTTTTTTTTTGCTTCTCCACACCTGTCTTCCTAAACCTCCATCCCGTAGAGGAAAACGCTTGCCGAGAGGCAGCTGCAGGATTGCAGAGACGCTGAAACCAGCAGCAGCTATTCCGAAGAGAAAACAACGCTTCACCTCTTCCCGGGGGAGAACTGCACGCTGGCGCCCCTGCCCGAGGTTGCCCGCGTGGTGCACTCCAAAGCCTTCTGCACCGTGCATTGGCAGGAATCGGGGCGCTGCAAGCAGAGTACGAAGGACGTCCACCTGTTGCCCCCCGCCCAAATCCTCGGCATACAGAGCGGTCAGGGGACAGCCAGAGGGCAGGTGAAATACTCGCGGGGGGTAGAAAATAAGGGCGGAGCCAAGCCCGAAACTGCCACGGAAGTGAGCAAAGCTCCCCAGTTGATCCTTGACCCCGCCCCGAACCCGGACGATGGCTCCCGCGAACCTGGGCTCGCCGAAGGAGGAGCCTCCTCGGAGCCCAGTGTCGCCAGCCAGCTCCCCAAACCGCCCACTGAGCTTCAGGACCCGAGTGGAAGCCTGGAGAAGCCCATCCCAGTGGCCGAGAGCAGAGAGGCGGTGCCTGCCGTTGCCTTGCCCACCGAGGTAGACGCCGGCCGCGCCAAGTGCAGCTGTGTTGATCTTCCGCCAGATTTGGAAGAGCTCTCCCTGCTCGATCCCTTTCCCCGTTACATGAAGTCCTGCCACGACCTGATTGTCCCCGAGAAGTGTCTGTGTGTGGAGAAGCTGGATCGAAAAGAGGGGGTTGCCTTGCCGGAAAGCTCTCCTCCCGGCGGGGTTTTCCCTGGCGGCACGGAGACCAGCAGCCACAGCCCCACACAGCCGGCGAGCGGTAGGGCAGACATGCCCAAGGTTGGCCATCCGTCCGCTTCCGAAACTCAGGCCTTCCGCTGCTCCGGACTTCAAGCGGAACCCTGTGCGAAGGAGCTCCATGACGTCGTAATGGAGGATTCTCAGGAGAAGATCAACACCTCATTGCCGCCACTGCCGCCGCCGCCTCCACCCCCACCTCAGGGACAGACGGTCTCAAAGTCCCCCAAGGACGACCCCAGCCGCCTCGCACAGCAAGTGCGGGAGAAGGGATGGAGTCTGCGGACCTCTGAAAGCCTTACCTTGGCTGAAGTCTACCTCATGATGGGCAAGCCGAACAAATTGCAGCTAGAATACGACTGGCTGGCAGTCTTGGGGCAGGAAACCCAGGATGCCGGGGAGCCGGTCACTGAACCGAAATCTGTTCCTCCCTCGGCCACTTTTCATAAACAGAAACTCCTCAATTGCCTCTTGAAACTCATTTCTTCTGAAGTTAACCCCAAACCGGTAAGTCTCTGTTTGGACTCACCTAGTGCCCTGGTCACCTCTTTTAAGTTATCCGAATGGATCTCGTGAACGAGTTTGGCTGAAGGCCCCCCTGCCTTTCCCAGTTATCCAGATGTGGCCTTTAGATCTTTTGCAACTGGCTTGCCGCTTCCCTTCTCTGCTTGCCTGTCTCCTGTGAAATAAGGACCTCGGGAAGTAGGTTTATTTGGGATCATTTGGCTCTTCTTTTTAAGCTTATTTGCGACAGTGGTTAATATTGCATCTACTGTTCATTGCCACCTAAAAAAAAAAAGAACAGAAAAGGCAGAAACAGGGACAATTTTCATCATTATTATTATTTTTTGGTTAGACATAATCCTCATTTAACAGCCACAATTGGGACTGGCAATTCTGTTGTTAAGTGCTGCATTAGCTAAGCCAAAATTAACCTGACCATGTCAGACTACCTCATTTCCACTTCTGGGATTTCACTTCATATATATCCAGCACGAAATTACAGTTCCAAGAGATTCATTTTTAGGTGGGCATATATATGTAGATAATGTGTGCAATAACCATAACTGATTATGATGTGTAGATTCATACATAGATAAATGTATAAATATAACAATTTTAGGTGGGCGCAACCAAAGTTTTTATGAGGTTTACTGGGTTTCTAGGTTAATCCTTAAAAGCTTTTCAAAACGCTGCAACACTCGACCTAAAGCAAAACTTTTCTGGACCCCTGAGCTAGACCACAAGTGAATTAACCACTATCCTGTCCCACCATGGTAGTTCTGAACGTTCTTTGGAATATCTGCTCTTTAAACTTGGATAATGGTGATGAAGGGGACTCAGTGGCTAAGATGCTGAGCTTGCCAGTCTTTCAGATCGGCAGTTTGAACCCCTAGCACTGTATAACGGGGTGAGCTCCCATTCCTTGTCCCAGCTTCTGCCAACCTAGCAGTTCGAAAGCATGTTAAAAAATGCAAGTAGAAAAATAGGGGCCCCTTTGGTGGGAAGGGAACAGCGTTCCTCCGTGCGCCTTCAGTGTTCAGTCTTGCCAGCCATGTGACCACGGAGACGTCTTCGGACAGCGCTGGCTCTTCTTCGGCTTTGTAACGGAGAGGAGCACCGGCGCCCCCTAGAGCCGGAAATGACTAGCACGGATGTGCAGGAGAACCTTTACCTTAATGATGAAGAACGTTTGAAGCATCCTGCAATTGAGACCTCGCTGCTTCCTTTCTAGATCCCTGAAATGAATTCCGTTGCAACCTCCCCCATCAAGCCTATTCAAGAGGAGCATGCTTTGACACCTCCCGGGAAGGTGATTGCCATTAGCACCAGGAGTCCGGGCTGTGCTCGCAATCAACCTGCGCTTCATAAGAAGACCTTTTCCCCCAGTGCCACTCCCAACTCCTCAGGTGAGTCAGTCGTGCAGAAAACCTGTCCACCCTGTGCTGTGTCCACATAGACGTGCCCCTCCCCGCCTCTTCCAAATTCTGTGCCTAGGAAATCTCCAGATTTGGGGATCTCTCAAATTCATTGTTCAATTTTGGCAAACAGTGGAGTGAGAGAATTGTTCTGTCGTTTGGAATTCGACAACTTGCAGCGAGCTACAGGTTTGTCAGTTCTCCGAGAGCAGAATGGAAGAAGCCTCCATGGATGAGAAATGAAACATTTTCAAAGAAAAATTGGCAAGAAAGTCCAGTTGCCTTTTGGAAAATCACCTTTGGGGTCTCCCAGAGCTCTGCTTCTCAACCTTGGCAACTTGAAGATTATGTGGACTTCAACTCCCAGGATTCTTCAGAGATGGCAAGATGCCATGAACAAAGATTTGCAAGCCACGGGCCTGCGCCCTGGAGAGGCAGCTGATCGTGCAAAGTGGCGTTCAGTGTTCCGAAAAGCGGACCCTGCGCCTGCGGGAATATGCTAAGAAGAGGAGGAAGGAAGGAAGAAGTAGTAGTAGCAGCAGTAGTCCTAGAATTCTTCTAGAAGGCTGGAGAATTCTGGGAGTTGAAGTCCACGCTCTAGTAAGGTGGTTGCACTTCCATTTCCCTGGTTCCTTGTGAAATTCACACCTCCCTGCAGATCGACATAGGTTTATGGAAGTACTTCCAAGACGTTTCCTAATAGAAGTCCGGTGTCAACTCATAAAATATTTCTATGGTCTTTTTAGAGTTGCTAACAGAAAGGGAGAGGGGAGCGGTGCGGCAGCTTGCAAACCGAAAGTGCATTCCATCGATGTTTTCAGAGATAGTAACTAGGTGACCAAGTTTCTGCCCTGCAAAATTCTAACTGTAGAGTATGATTGATGACTCCTGGCTATGGATGTGTCCCATTGGAGAATATGAATTACGATACACCCAGGGGGTGTGGGGAAAACCAGGGTCAAGAGTGACAATGAATGATGTGTCTCAGAGTTAACTACGCCCAGGCAGTGCTGGACATTTTAACTCCCAATAAATCCTTTTGAAGTTTTGGAAGTTTGGCTCGAGACTTATGATTTAAATGAGGTTAAGTGCCAGAAGCCTGACAGCCAGCCGACTCCGAGACACATCATTCATGGTCACCCTTGACCCTGGTTTTCCTTCACCGCCTGGGTGTATCTTTTCCATTAATCAACCCTTAATGTCTTTATCGTTTCCTGACAGGTTTCCAAAATCCTTCTAAACCCCTCTTGGTGGCTAGTTGTTCTTCAAGTTCCAGCAACCCTGATGCCGACGGCGGCCTCTTTGCCATCCCCACAACCCTCCCACCGAACAGCAGGCATGGGAAGCTTTTCTTGCAAAACAAGGAAGCAGACCTGAGCTTCCGCCAGTGCTTGGATACTATCAGTGTGAGTCTTAAAATGTGTAAGCGTAACACTAGGAGAAAAACCAACCCAGCCTTCCCTCGTAGCTGGTAAAAGTTAAGCAGCTTGTCAGCTTTGGAAGCCATATTGAGATCCGATCCTCCCACGCTGCCACCTTTTGAGCCTGGGAAAGTGGGAGGGTGGAAGTCCTTGGGGTATGTGTAGTTAGACAAAATAACATGCTAACAAGGCCGTGCTATTGTGCGCATATGTGAGGGGAAGTCTTTAAGTTGGGATGGATGATGATCGGGGGGCATGTGAGGCAATGATAGGGTGTAGGGGGTTGGATTTGGTAAATTTGATTATTGCAAGGAAGCCTGGAATTTTCAGATTCGGGATTCCACCCCCGTCGTGCCAGTTTATTATCTAAATTAAAAAGAACTTTTGAGTGATGTGTATCTTGGGAGTTACTGGTTGGAGTGGAGGTTTGCTGGAACGCTGGCACAACTATCCGTTCCAGGGCTTGGTCACGCGATTAAGATTTCATGGCAATTTAATGTCCTGTATACGTTACAGCTTACAGCTGCGTTTTTGGGAATGAGACGAAAAATCTCAGGTTACACAAAATTTGGGAAAGAATGAAGTCAGAATTCCAGCCAGTAAGGAAACACATGTCCCAACTTCTTCCTCTACTGTTACTTTCCTGTTTTTTTGTTTTTGTTTTCTGCAACATCAAAACATACTTTGAAGTCCTTCCTTTCAACTGTCCAGGCAGAACCATCCAATCTGAAATCAAGTTTGTTTATTTGTTAAATGTATTTGCCACCCTGAAGGGCTACTCCCTGTTTTCAGAGGGGAAGAGCCTGCCACTTTTTCTGAATTTCTGATTCTGTTTTGTCCTGCAGCAGAATAATACTCTGATCTTTTTGCTACCACATTAACTGGATGATATAAATTATGTAGAACCATGGAGACGCTAAATCGGTGTGGGACACCTTAGCCCAGGGCTGCTGGAAGTTCCCTTCATGCAGCAAGCCAAAGCCTCAGTGGTCTTGTTAAGAGTATCAGGATGCTATATCATGAACTGCTGTTTCTCTTTAGATGCAATCGGATTTTTTCTTGCCAAAGCCAAGAAAACTACGCAGCAGACACCTGCGGAAGCCGCTGGTTGTTCAGGTAAGAGAGAACTAAGGCTAATTAAGATACGTTCTTCATTTGGGGTCAACAAATGGATTCATGTGGCTTATTTGGGGGGCATATTGTTACTTGCTTTTCTGCCCATCCATTTGGACAGAGGTAATTGGTTCCTCCCACTTAGGTGGTTTTCTGCTTTCAGGCCTGTCAGCATAAGTGAGAAACAGATTGCAGAGTCCAGGGTCTTCCAACTGGGGAGGACTCGCATCCCCTGGGAGGTGCAAGACCATATTCCAGGGGTGTGTGTGTGAAAACTTGAGTTTAGAAGTTTCAAAATTATAGCGTATATGTATAATTATAATGCATATAATTGTTTATATTTTTAAAGGAGCGTGTGAGAATATATCAGAAGCGTTCTAGGGGTATAGAAAAGGTTGGGAACCCCTGGCAAAGTCATTTCAGTTAGGCTAAGAAAAAAACAAAACAGGGCATCTCTTTGTACTGTAGAATGGATCAGACTTGAATACACATTTAGAATTCTTTTTAAGGTACAGAAATTTGATTTTTATCCTAAGAGGAATTTCTGGTCTTTAACCACATTCTGTTCAAGAGATGGACAGGTTTGGGCCATATGACCTGTCCTTTCTGGGAGGAGAAGGAATAAGAGAAAGAACAATTTTATACGGGTCTTTGTTCCTGCCTGTTGTCAGCACATAAACCCCCAAAGAATATACCTCTCCATATCAAATCAAATTTCTCCAGCCCTTAACTTAGCTGAATGCCATATCAGCAAGAGTCCCAGGCATTCATAGATCTACAAGTAGTCCTTGACTCACAGCCACAATTGAACACGAAATGTCCGTTGCTAAGTAAGGCAGCTCTAAGTGATTTTTGCCCCCATTTTAAGAGAATCATTGCAGCTAGCGTTAAGCACATCTGGCTTTCCCCACAGACTTGGAATGTCAGAAGCCAGCTGGAGAAGTTGCAAATGGTGATCACGTGACCCTGGGACAGCGCAGCTGTCATAAACGCAAGCCAGTTGCCAGGCGTCTGAATTTTGATCGTGTAGCCATGGGGAGGCTGCAACAAGCGATGTAAAAACTGGTCAGAAGACGCTTTTTTCAGTACCCTTGTAACTCTGAACTGTTCGTTTAGTGTATTGTAAGTTGAGGACAACACATAATGTCCAGAGGGGGCATTCAGTAGGTTTTGACCAGTTCTGGAGAACCGGTAGCGGAAATTTTGAGTAGTTCAGAGAACCGGCAAATCCGACCTCTGCCTGGTGATTTTACAGTATCCTCCTTCCCCTGCTACGCCCAACAAGTCACGCCCACAGAACCGGTAGTAAAAAAAAAAATTGAATCCCACCACTGATAATGTCATAGAGAACATATTTGGAGACTGTATGATGATTAGACACGGACCAGGGAGAGATACAATCTAGACACCACTGGAGAACTTTCATTTTTCTTTAACGTTTATATCTCGCTTTCTTCTCGCAGAGGACTCTGCTTCCTAGACCTTCCGAAAACCCTTCCCAGCATGTTTGTTCCTTTTCCATCTTATCAAACTCCTCCATAACAGGTGAGCTGCTCAGCCATGTGTATAATCTGAGGAATACGTTTTACACGGGCCTGGAGAAGGCTGTGAATTCTTTGAGCAGAGGGGATTAAAGCTGTAGCCTTTTCCATCTATGGGCTCGTCCAAGACCACTAGCTGTGGTCTCCACGGCCCTGTGACAACAAGCCTTTATTTTTACTTGCTTGTGTGACATCCTTCATTCCTCTCGGAAAGTAAGAGATGAGCCTGTGTGTAGAATCCTAGGTGTCAACTCATAAAACATTCCTATGCCTGTTTTAATAGTTGCCATAAAAGTGGGGGAAAGAGAAAGTACATTCCAACTCTTATCTTTAAACGATTGTAACTAAAATACCAGAGCTTTTGCCTGCGAATGTATTTAATTGGAGAACATGAATGATGACAGCCAGCCTGTGAACCTGCTCAACTGGAGAATCTGGTTTAGGAGACACTCAGCGGGGAGGGGGGGAAACAGGGTCACAGGGGACTGTAAATGACGTAGGCCAGAAGTGGTTTCATACAGGGAAGGGCCAGTAGGTCGCCTCTAATGAATCCTTTGAAGTCTTTTGAAGTTTGGCTCAAGAATCGTGATTTAATTAGGGCTATTGCTGGAATCCACTAGGGACATTGATGTGGGAGCATGCCTCAAGGGAATTCGGGCTCCTGGGCTCCTCTTAAAACGCCATGATCACCCCCAAGTGAGAGCCGAGAAAGGATACAAGCATTTTGCCAATAAACGGTGAAGGATCTCTCGCTTGAGCAGGGGGTTGGACTAGAAAACCTCCAAGGTCCCCTTCCAATCCTGTTACTCTATGCTTGCCATATCCTTATGTTGCCCATATTTTCTGCTGGGGGCCTCTACAGTGTTTTGTCTTTGGTTTTCTTCCTGGGAGAAAGGCCCAGAACTGGGTGTCATGTGGGATATAACTCCCAAGTGACTTTTTTTTTCCTTTCCTTTTTCCGAATTCGGTGCGCTTTTAACCATTCCTCTGCTGTCTTCGATTGTTCCTTCTTTTAGGAAGGGGATCTTTTCGGCCAATCCAGTCTTCGCTGACTAAAGCTGCCGTGTCACGCCCCATTGTTCCCAAAATCCTTCCAGCTCAAGCCACCAATCGCCTGTCTAGTAAGTGTCTTTTTCCCAAGGAAAGCCCAGGCAACAACAGGGAGGTAGCGGTAGGGTTAGGTTTCTATGGGAAAATCCCGCGGGGGGCGGCGCAGGGCGGGCAGGCAAATCCACTTAGGTTAGGGTTGAGTCTCCCATCAATTTGGAGAGCGGGTTGGATATCACCAACAAATCCGTAGCTCATTCAGTATACTTAGGAGGATGCTGACTTTTCACGCGTACCTTACCTAAATCTCCCGGTAAAATACATGAGAAAACTCACATTTTTTGGTGGGGGAGGGTGGCAGGTTGTTTATGGACATTGCCAATGGATTCGGAGCGCGTTGTTACGGTTAGGAGGATGCTGACTTTTAGAGCCCACCCTATTTACGTTCTTTGGCAAAATACATGGGAAATCCCATAAGGGGGCAAATCCACTTAGGTTTAGGGTTAGCTCCCCAAGAATTCAGAGAGCAAAATGCACATCACCAATGGATTTGGAGCACATTGTTATGGTTAGGAGGGTGCCAACTTTTCGAGCCCACCTTGTGTACATTCCCCGACAAAATACATGGGAAAGTCCCACTGGGGGCAAATTCACTTAGGGAGGGCTAAATGAATCCTGAGAGTAAAATGGACACCACCAATGGATTCGGAGCGCATGGTTATGCTTAGGGGGACCCTAACTTTTTGAAGCTACCTTATCTGCGTCTCTTAGTTATTACCAGTTCTGAAATAACCGTTTTTATCTTTCCCCATGATTAGTTTTTGAAGTGCTCATTATGTTCACCCAGGCCTTTCACAATCCTTTTGAAGAAAGATCCTATTGACCTGGTTTAATCATTCAGGAGATATCAGGGTCAGTGGAGATTAAGGTTTCAAATAAGGTTAAGATAATGAAGCAATGGAAAATCTTAGCTTTTTGAGACAGAGGTCATCTTCATTCAGTCATTGTCTCATTTACTGCTGTGATGAAAAAGTAACCTGGCCACCAGTCCTCGCATTTACATCCTTCGCAGACCTTGCCCGCAAAGAAAAGCCGAAATAAGGCCTTAAACACAATTGTAGTTTCACATAGTGACCTCTTTATTGAATGATTGAGTTGTGGCTCTCAGTTGTGGGCACTAAACAAGGACTACCTCTCCTGAATCGGCGAACTATGTAAATAATAAGAAGGCACCATTAAAAACAAAGTGTTTTCCTGCTGGTGTAGACGTAGCATTGCCAGAACCTCAAGTTTAGGTTCTGGCAATTTTAAAACTTTAGTTTCAGGAAAATGTCCTTTCTCACATTTGCTGCTTTCTGTCCAAAGGCGCAATTGATTTGGCGGCTAAATCAGCCGGTATTATCCCCGGCAGTCCGTTGCCACTTCTGGGGACCGAAGGCTTGCCAGGTGTTTCCCCGCTCTCACCAGAGGCAGTAACCACCGTGGTTGGAAGTCAAGACTCCACAGTGGCACATCAGAACGGAAGTTCCATAGCAACAGTGGCGGTCAGTTTTCAGCTCTACTATAATGTTTTTCTTCTTTTAGAACCGACTTTATCCAGTTCTAATACAGGGTTAGGCATCTATGGCAACTTTACGGCCTGTGGACTTCAACTCCCAGAATTCCTAAGCCACCCTTCAGCGTTCCTAAGCTGAAGAATTCTGGGAGTTGAAGTCCAGAGGTCATAAAATTGCCATAGATGCCCATCTCTGTTCTAATAGGATGTTGCTCTGGGTACAACGTGCCCCAATTAGACACCAGGCTCCCAAAACCAAGAAAGACACACAGTGATTCTTCCAAGCAGATTTTATTGTCCTCGACTTAGAGACAGAATCTTGCCAAACTGGAGCAGGCTAATCCCTGCATGAAACGTATATTCTTGGAACTAATGAGGAGGAGCTGTCTTCACTCTCTTCCTCTCACACATAATATCTGGGCTGAGTTGCCTCTTATTCCTCTGGAATGCACCCCCTCCCTCCTGGAAATCCAGCCCTCTGCATTCCATCCCATTAGATTCCTCCAGTCAATCAAAACTCCTTAAAAATCTTGAATTTCCTTGCTCTGCCTCCTCACCCTACCTCACAGCCCCAGCTTTCCAGAAATGGCCTCTCCATCCCAGTCCTAACTGATACCTCATCTACTGTCTTACACATTATTGGTTCTATTGTTCTACCTGGCGGGATAAGTTGTTCCTGCCCTCCGTAACAAAGGAGAAGGGTTCCCAGGCCAGCTAGCCATGATAGCTAATGGAGATGCTAGTTTGGTTTTCCCTGAATTTCTATTCCCATTTATTGGGAAGATTTATTTCCTTTCTTTTCTTCGGGAAATCCTTGACAGTAGCAGGGCAGGCATGATAAATAAAGCATTAATGTTTCATAATTTGAGTGTCTCTCTTCCAGCCATGTAAGCTCAGGCAGTCTTTCTTGATTCCAGGGTTCAAGACATGAATGTCAGGTTCCTTTCCTTGGTCTACCATCCCAGCCTGAGGAGGAAGCCATTCCTGACGGCTTCCAGGTAAAGTATCTTTAACTAAGAATTACTTACACTTCAGAACTTAATACACGCTAACGCTGTAGCTCAGATTAAGGAGGCTGTCTGTACAACCAGTATTTGGGCTGTGATGGAGCGGCCATGATTTCTGAAGACAAGCTGCTCGATTGTTTAATTGTCCTCACTGTTAGGAAGTTTTTCCTTAAGTCCAAGTTGTTCCTCTCTTTGGTTAGTTCCCAACCATTATTTCTTGTCCTGCCCCCTGGTACTTTGGAGAATAATTTGACCCCCTCTTCTTTGGGGCAGCCCCTCAAATACTGCTATCATGTTATCTTCTTTGTTTAGGGAAGAAAGAGTTTCCAAAATGACTATTTTAAGAAGAGACCGGACAGTCACTTGTCTGAGGTTATATAGGTTTTTCCTGCTTGAGCAGGAAAACCCTGGAATCAGGGGGCTGGACTAGAAGACCTCCAAGGTCCCTTCCAGCTCTATTCTATTCTAAGTTTGGCAAGGCACTCATTTGAATGCTGTGTGAACTTTTAAAGTCTGTTATTAGATACCTGAACATTTTTTTTTCTCCGCAATCTATGAATCTGTGATGCATGCTAGTCCTCGTGAACATTGATACACTCATTGTTACAGAGAAGCAAGAAAAAAAATGCTTGCTAGATCAAAATGTGAGGCTCAAAGATTGCAAGAAGGCAACTGTGAACTGCAAACAAAGCGAAGGAAAAAAAATACCGTCTTGTTGTGAATTTCCTGGCATCCTGTTGTCTAGGTTAAGTTTTTGCAATGTTTGCAACTTCCCAGAATGTCGACCGGTTTCTAGAATTTCCCATCCGGCAGACTTAATTGCTGAGAATTCAGATCAATGAAGGTCCATAAATCTGAAAGGCACCCAGGTTTATCTTTGGTCAAAATGAATATCCAGCATCTAACGTGGATGTGTGTTTCTTATTTAAGGGCTTCGTTGCCCTGAATCATCAGCAGTGGTTGCTGGAGGCTATTGAAATAAATGCTTCATTGGATAACGTATATTAAACAAGATACTTGTATAAACACAGCAGCGAGCTTGAACCTTGGGGGAATCTGATTTTAACCTTGCTAGATAACTGTCCTCTAGATCCCACCATTAGGGAGAGCTGTGAAGTTGGTTACAGGTCATCTTTCAAAGGAGAAGTCGTCAATTTCTCGGGGGCTGACAGGAGGAACAGGAATCGGGGGATTGTAAGCAAAACTTCCAACCATGTCATCATCTTCAGGGAAAGGATACTGAACTATAGGTGGAAAGAGCCTCACATTTTGATCAAGCAAGCATTTTTTTCTCTTGCTTCTCTGTAACAATGAGTGTATCAATGTTTACGAGGACTAGCATGCATCACAGATTCATAGATTGCGGAGGAAAAAAATGTTCAGGGATCTAATAACAGACTTTAAAAGTTCACACAGCATTCAGATGAGTGCCTTGACAAACTCAGAATAGAATAGAGCTGGAAGGGACCTTGGAGGTCTTCTAGTCCAGCCCCCTGATTCCAGGGTTTTTCCTGCTCAAGCAGGAAACCTGTGTCTGATGTAAGGCAGCTTTCTATATTCTAGCATGGACATAGGGTGGCAACAACCTGGCAAGGTTCTCGGTCTTCTGCATGGCATAAAAGCTTTAGGAAACGACCTGTTGTTGACGTGACAGTTGTTATTATTCCCGTTTGCTTGCTACCACAGGGAACGCCGGTCCTCTCTCTGCCAGAGCTGCCTAAAACATCTCTCCAGAATGGTCTTTCTTCCTCTCCGCTTCCCTCTTCTGAGACATCCAGTACCCGTCTGTCTCCCCCCAATGTCTCTGCTCTCCTTGACATCTCTCTTCCTGGACCCCCCGAGGATGTTTTGTCTCAGGGAGAACCGGCTACTCAAATCAGTGACTCCATCATTGAAATAGCCATTAGCTCTGGCCAATACGGTAAGGGAGAAAGAGAGGAGGCATAGAATGAATGAAACAATGAAAAAGAAGGAAAGAAAAAGAAAAGAGAGAGGGAGGGAGAAATAGTAATTAGCTCTGGCCAATACAGAGAGGAGGCATAAAATGAATGAATGAATGAATGAGAAGGAAAGAAAGAAAAAGAAAAGAGACAGACAGACAGAGAGAAATATCAATTAGCTCTGACCAATACAGAAAGAGAGGAGGCATTGAATGAATGAATGAAAGAGAGAGAGAGAGAAATACCAATTCGCTCTGGCCAATGCAGTAAGGCAGAAAGAGAGGAAGCATGGAATGAATGAATGAATAAGAAAGAAAGAGACAGAAAGAGAGAAAGAAAGAAAGAAAGAAAGAAAGAAAGAAAGAAAGAAAGAAAAGAGAGAGAGAGAGAAATAGTAATTAGCACTGGCCAATACAGAAAGGAGGCATGGAATGAATGAATGAATGAACGAATGAATGAAGAGATGTCAAAGGTTAGCTGTTCAACACACTGCCGTATAGTTCAGCAGTGGGTTTTTTTTGATCTTGGGAATTGCTCAAACGCACAAGTGTTCTTTGAAGGCAAGAGTGGAGAACTTGTGACTTTCCAAAAAGGACGGTTGCATATTTTACACACTTCAGTTAAAAGAAAAAAAACCAATTTGCATTTACAGGTGAGAACGTTTCCCTGTCCCCAGCCAAGCTGAACGGTAGCGATAATTCCAAAAGTCTTCCGTCCCCATCCTGCAGCCCCCAGCAGAGTTGGATCGCTTCGCCCAGCCATGATCCACAGTGGTATCCCAACGACTCCACCGACTCCTCGCTCAGCAGCTTATTTTGTGAGTACAGCCCAAAAACTCTCCCAGGGTCCAGGGTGGCTAATAGGAACAAGCTCCTCTCTCTCTTTGGCCCCATATAGCCTGCCTGTTGCCCAAACCCAGCTGAGAGATGTGTCCATTGGGCAAGGAGGAGACTCATCTGAGCGTAGCTGCAGCCTGTTTAATCAGCAACGTTTATTCCACGTTGATCCCATCTCGTTTTTCTTTCTTTTCCTTAGTCCCACAAAAACTAAAATGATTGGGAATATCAGATTTGTCACTATAAATAGTCCTCAACTTACAACCACAGTCGGGACCAGAGTTTCCGTTGCTCATCAAGGTGGTTGTTAATGTGAATCCTGGCAAATTTTACAACCGTTTTTGCCCCAATTGCTAGGTGCATTGATGCAGAGAATAGAAATGGAATAGGAAGAGTAGAATAGAATAGAATAGAATAGAATAGAATAGAATAGAATAGAATAGAATAGAATAGAATAGAATAGAATAGAATAGAATAGAATAGAATAACAGTAGAATAGAGAATGGAATAGAATAATAAGTCACTTTGAACGTATACTAATCGGCATATATTAAAACGAAATTTCATTACATACAGTTGTTAAGTGACTCGCACAACTGCAATGAATCCGGCTTCCCCCGTTGACTTCACTTGCCAGAAGTCAGCCAGGAAAGTTGTAAATGGCGATCACATAATCCCAGGAGTCTGCAACCATTGTAAACCCATGCCAGTTTTCAAGGGCCCAGATTTTGATCCTATGATTGTCAGGATGCTGCAACTGTCGTACAGTGTGAGGGCTGCAAGTCATTTTTTGTCATCTTGTTATAGCAATAGCACTTGGACTTATATACCGCTTCACAGTGCATTTACAGCCCTCTCTAAGTGGTTTACATAGCATATTGCCCCCAACAATCTAGATCCTCCTTTTACCCACCTTGGAAGGAGGGAAGGCTGAGTCAACCTGGAGCCTGGTGGGATTCGAACTGCCAAATTGCAGTCAGCTGGCAGTCAGCAGAAGTAGCCTGCAGTACTGCACTCTAACCACTGCACCACAACGGCTTATAACAGTTGTAATTGAATGGTTGCAAGTCAAGGACTACCTGTGGTGCTTTGATCCCAGTTGGGAAAACAACATATTAGAATGGGCACAAGTTGAGTGCTGCCTCTTGCCAAAAAGGGGGGCTTTTCCTGAGGTCATCACTGGACTTTCCTACCTTTAATGCAAAAGACAGAGATCGCTGGCTGACATCTTGATCCCTCTGTTTTACAGCCAGTTTCCTTTCTCCGGAGAAGGGCAGGAAAATGCTGCCCACCTCAGTGGGCAACCCAAGCAGCACCACCTTGTTGGGACCCAGTCTGCTGGATGGGAATTCACGGGATTCTTTCGTCTCTCGGTCCATGGCTGATGTCGCTGAGGTAACGACAATACTGTTTTTTTTCTGGGAGAGATGGCCCAGAGCTTTCAGCTGGAGGGATGAGAGAGAGGGAGGGAAGGAGGAATGAAGGAATGAATCTAGCAGGAGGGAGGGAGGAGTGTGGAGCAAACAAGGAAGGAATCTATCAGGAAGAAAGGGAGGGAGGGAGGAGTGTAGAGGAAGGAAGGAAGGAATCTAGAAGGAAGGAAGGAGGCATAGACAGACAAACAAAACCCACAGACCTGATATTTTGCATCGCTGCTCCACCCCTAGCAATCCTTCCCTCCCCACCCTCTCAAATATTGTTCAGATAACGGCTAGTAAAGTTGCATGAGAACTAGTGGTGTCTTTGAGCATATTCCAAACTCCGCTAAGGTCAGAAGAAAGCTACAAGACTGAGAAGCCAATCCTCTCTTTTCTTCCCCCTTCCCTTTATGTTTGCAGGTGGTAGATTCCCAGTTGGCCTGCATGATGAACGAGAACAGCATTGATTACATATCTCGGTTCAACGACCTTGCCCAGGAGCTCTCGATCCCCGAGCCGAGCCGCCGAGAGATTCTCTTTGACGGAGGGAGTGGCGGCCCCCCTATTGGCGACCTCTCTCAGTGAACACATCCCACCAGCGGGCTGGTGGGTGCCGGTGAATTGGCCATAACATGGAGGAATGACGTCATAGCTATGCAGCGGATTGGGGGGGGGGTTAATTTTTTTTTTTTTAAAAAAAATTCATTGTCCTGGCGGGAGCACGCCTGAGAAGAAGAGAGAGGTTTTCTCTTCAACCTTCTACGGTTCTTGGAAACTGCAATAGGCTGGGAACAAGACAGTGTGGAGCAGTATTATAGGAAGTGACATGTGTAAAGTTTAAAGCAAAGTTTACAAGGCAGCTCCAGGTTTTAAGGCCTGAGCAAGAAGTCCCACAAAACTACATCCTTTAGATGTTGTCGGGGTATCCACAAATAAGCTGAAAGTTGCGGGGGGTAAATGGTGGTGTGTTTTTATTAAATTTTCCTTTTTTTAGAACTTCCTCTCCTGGTCTGTCATCGTGGTCTTGTTGGCAAGTCAGTTGAGAGCTGGTATTCCTGGCACTTTCCTCGTCACAACAGCAGCTGAATTCCACAAGGCTTTTAAACAGAATTCTTTCATCCTTTCTTTATATTCATTAACATTCCAACAGGACACAAGGAGGGGAAGAAAAACACTGTTCCTGTTCCACCTTTAAAAACACAAAACATAATCACCTAATCGGTAGTAACACCGGTTGAATCCCACCCTGAGTCCGCACATCTTATACAGAAGACTCCTCAGGGGTCTTCTAGATATGTTCAAAGTCAAATTCCTTTGAGATGAGCACAATCATTGGTGACAACCACGGAAATGTCCTTGTAGTCTCTTTGGCAACAGTACAAGTGGTTTCCCTTGTCTTTTGGGTGGGGGGATGAATTTCTGACTTCCCAATTCTAGTCTGCAGCTCAGGGGGTTCCTGGATGTTATCAGGTGAGAGGCCTCTTAGCAAAATCAGGGCCATAGACTAGACAGGGATGTCAGGACACTTCCCAAAGAAGATCGTGATAATGCCCTTCCATTTGGTTGCCTTCGCAGAAATCATGTTTATCTCTCTTTAAATATCAGGAGTCAAGCTTGACACTTTGCCTTTTTTAAGAGCCCCTTTGATTCTTGGTTGCTAGCATTTTGGAGAGCAATTCTCTTACAAACATTTCCAGTTGCAGTTGAGAAACGTTTTGATCACGTCCTGCAAGATGAAAGGAATGGGTAAAATTCCCTACTTCTTGTAGGTCCTTAAGGCAAATAGCAGTTTTACACCGGGGTCTCTCTCCCTCCCATCTATGGTCATAAAATGCCCTTCTGGAGGTCTGCAGTTGTTGGCGTCTTAGCCTTCAGAGCTTGAAGAGCAGGCAGCCATCGCTTTATTTTTGCGGCCATCAAAGAACCATCTAATCCCTCTTCTTTACTGATTATTCCACACTATACAGTCCCTTTAGTTGTTCGTCTCCCACAAGCGAGCATTTCTAAACATCATTCCCTTAGGAAACGCTATTTACCTGCAAGCAGCCGCTCTTTGCAAACCTGTCCTGCGGGTGTCTCATTTTTCTTCAGACGTTTGACAGGCAACGTGACTTCGGGCTTGGTCCACAAGGTCTCGGTTGCTTTTGCCCAAACGGATGTTGAAAGGACCAAAAATTGGTGCCGATCAGGAGAGGCGCCTCTGTCCCTGGGATTTATCTCTGACCCTCTTTTAGCATCCCTCCCAAGTTTCTTCCCCTCTGCCTTTGCCACAGAACTGGATGGCCTCTCCTAACTTCCATGGTGTTTGTGACTGAGTCCACCCGCCCTCCATTAAATTCAGATTCTGAATAAGCTGAATGGAAAACCGCTGAGATCATATATACCTCTAACCTAATCATCTGAGATCACTGCTCCTTCAAAAGTAGTAGCACTAACAATTATTTCGCCATAACTGATAGCTAAATGCATTCTTTTAATTTCAGGCCAAAATATTCTGCACAGTTGTGACATCAAGGGACATAATAGCAGTCCGCAGAGTTCTTCTGGCAGTCGTAGAGATTCCCTCCTTTTACCATCAAGAGGGAATAGTGGATGTGCATGAAATCCAGATGCCTCCAGGCAGCATCTGTGATTTAGGAGGCGTTTTAGCAATTTAGCATAGATCCCACACTGCCAGAATCCTCTTCTTGCACTCAGGTGCAGTTTCTTCCAGACTCTTGTCTGATACAATCTATTTTTATCCTCGGTATCCTTCATCTCTTTGCAGTTCTGTGTCTTATAGAAAAAAAATGTTCTATTCAGCACGTTTTGTTCAAATAAAGCAACATAGGCTGAATCTTCCACTGATCGTCCTGCAGCTTGCGCTGTGATTTAAAGCTTGTATGTTGATTTTTTAGGAATTCTTTCCTCTTAACTATTGGGCTATTTGACATAGATTATTTTAAACTCAAGTTTATGGAGCCCTTCGTTTCATGTCTGTCTGAGTTATTCACCTACCTTGCAGTGGAAGGTATGATGGTGAGTGTCCCTCTGGCCACCAGCTTTCTCCATCCATGAAAACATAGGATGTTGTAAAAGCTATTATGGCTAGACATAAGCTCAGCAACTTTTTAATATTGTTTTGTTGCCTGAAACAACGAGAAGTAAGCAAACATTTGCAAAAGCAGCTCCTTTCCCAGTGCTTGACCGTTTTAAAGCAGTATCTACATATCAGCTTTAGTACTTCTGAAATCCTCTGCAAACAACTCTGAACTTCCTTTCGAAAAAACTTGTCACCTTTCTTGTTTCTTTAGTGGCCGTTTATGTCTTGCATGTTAACATCTGAAGTCAAGAGCAAGCGCAGCTCTGCTTTGAGGACTACAAATTGAAAGGAAAATTCCAGTGACATCAACTCCAGCCATTTTACTCCAGTGCTTATTTATCTAAGTGATTTTTTTTTTCCTTGGGAAGCCACTGGCCTTACAAAGAGAGAGATACCCTGGTTGGATAAGTGCAGGAGACAATTCTGAGATGTTCCCCTAGCCCTTTTCGATCCAGAAGAATATCAAATTCATGACGAAGAACTTCTGTGCAACCTCTAGGCGATTTGCAGGCATGGCTGCTTCTAAGGGGGGTCATCTTGCCTTTATTTCGGGCTTGAGGGATTGAAAGGAAAAGCTCTTGTGGATCGCCTGGTTTTCGTTTGTGTGTTTGATTTCCAAAAAGCTCTTGGTGTCAAAATGTTCCTTTTTTTTTTTTTTTTTGCAGTCAGATGGGACAGGTTGATGCATGTATTTACAAAAGAGAATGTATGCAGTGGATATAAGCTTTTCTCATACACCTACCAGACAGGGCACTAGGAATTGGCAACGTTTGTTCCCATGTAAAGGTTTAAGAATGTGGGTTAGGCATGGTATCTGCCCAATTTTGAGTGCCTGGATTGGACAGTAGTTGCATTGCATTGAAATTGACCAATCATTCAAGCGTTGACTTTATTTTCAGTTTTGATCCAACTGGGATATGCAGTTTATGGTGAGTTTTTGCTACACAACGTTCGTCCCTATGAACTGCGTCCTAATTATCCCACTTTTTTTTCTTTTTTTAAACAAAGGTGTTCTAGACTGGCATTATGTAACCCTCTCTTTGATTGTTAACTTTATGCTTTCTTAGCCAGCTTGATTTCAATTATACCCATAAGGATGGCTTGTCTTTGACTTGACCAGTGGTGCGGGTTTTTTTTTTAGCATTGCATTTGGGGTTTGGGATTGTTTTTAAATACACATATATAAACTCTCAGAACACATACGCTTACACAGAGAAGACAGCTGAATTTGTAGGGAAGAAACAGCACTTTTTTTTTGGAGCTAACCCAGCCCTTTTTAAAGCTTTCCTTGTGGACCTGTAAATGCTAAATAATGAAAATATTTGCAAGCACTACAGCAATGAGTTATCACTAGTTGCCAAAATGTGACACCTGGCTTTTGAGCTTGTGCATTTGGCAGTGGACGATGTTGCTGTTTCTTTTAATAATAGTTAAGCCATATCATCTTTTAAAAAAAGTTTTTTGTCTCGTTTTAAAATGTGAATTTGTTTTTCAGATAATATGCATATATATAGCGTCTGTATAAAGCAAGAATGCCTGTCCTTAACTGATTATTTTTTGTACCATATTGTAAATTATATTATTTATTCTTTATCGATTTTTGGAGAAAAAAAAAGGTGTTCGGGGTATTTAATATAATATACAAAAGTTAACTTCCTCTGTTTTCAATTTCCAATTCAAGTTGTAAAGTTGTTTTTATGATTGTCCATAAACACTTACTAATCCTTGGTCTAATTTGTGTGTCTGAGTTAGATATTTGATCATCATTTTTTCTTCTCCAAGTTTCCTATACAGTAGTTAGAATTCAGAGGCATTAGAAGCTATTGGGAATTTCTTTGAGGCTCTGTGAAAAAACAATGTTCCATTACATTGGATGAAATTGGGTATAGAAATGCCCTGGAACATTTTAACATTTGAAGCATTAATATGCAGCCCTTTTGTTTCTTGTTTTGATGAGTGCCTGCATTCTATGGGAATTATTTTAATGACCCCCCTCCCCCGCCCCAAAAAGCGATGAATTCGTTTTGCTGCTACCCATAACTAAAAGTAGCCCCGAATGAATGAATGCCACTGACTTTTGAACAACACTACTCAGCTTTGAATGTTGCAGATCATCCTTCTCAAATCTGGCCTCTCAGCAGGATTTGTAGATTTTTAACTCCCAGATTTTTAACTTCCAGAATTCCCTATCCCAGGAAGTGTCTGACTTTGGCAACTTTAAGATGTTTGGGCTTCAATTCCCAGAAATTTCTGGGAATTGAAGTCCACAAGTCTTAAAAGTTTCCAAGGTTGGGTATCCCTGCCCTAGCCAATGTAGCCATTGTCAAGAATTCTAGTAATAAATGTGTTCACACATCTAGAAATGAACAGTTTGCTGGAACATACAGCCCTCTAAGGTGTCGCCCAACAACAACTACCAACTCTACTAAGCAAGCAACATAACTGGGTGATGCTTTAAATTGTAGATCAATGTCTCACATCCTCATCCTTGAAATGAAACAATGGGTTTGTTTTCCAGATATGAGAAGGATGCCCAAGCTAGATACAGAACAGACAAAACACCCAGTCACAAAAAGTCAAGAAAGTGATAACATTGTGGCTTTTTTTTAAAACATCCCTCCACCCATCTGGCTGTTAGAATGATTCTAAAATACAAATTACTAATCTGGTGAGTTTTATTATGAGTGAACTTGAAGCTGATATTGGTCTGATCAACACACCATCCATTGTGTTCACACAACCAACCAAGTACAACATAACTAACCTACAGGTGGCCCTCAACTTATGACCACATTGAGTCTGAAATTTATATCGTTAAGTGACAAAATTTGTTAAGTGAGTTTTGCCCCATATTACAACTATACTTGCCACATTTGTTAAGTGAATCTGCAGCTGTTTAATAACACGGTTGTTAAGTCAACCTGGTTTCCTTGACTGCTTGTCAGAAGGTCACAGGCGATCACATGACCCCAGGACACCGCAACTGTCAAATGTAAGTTGTCAAGCATCCAAGTGTAAATCACATGACCATGGGGATGCTACAGTGGTCATAAGTGTGAAAAATGGTCATAAGTCACTTTTTCATCATGTAACTGAATGAACTGTTGTAAGCCGAGGTCTACCTGTATACTTTTATCAAATTATGCCAAATAATTCAATAAAATAATTTTATAAAAATAAAAATAATGCAAACAAATGATTTGGTTAGTACCAGTAAACAACTACACAATCACACCGGACGACACAGAAACACCCTGCATGAATTGTGCACGCCACGTTTCATCGGGAACAACCCAAGCCTGGCACAGATCAAATAAATCTCTGGACTTGTCAGCGATTAAATCAGTTTACCTCTGCCAAGAAAGATCAATCGTTTTCCCAATACTAGTTAAGCCAAAGTGACTACCCTTTTTAGATCCCTCCTTCTAACGGATGGCCGCATTCACACGACCCTAAACTCAAAACAAGGTTAAAAAGACCCGATGACTGCGTTTATTCATATTGGCCTTTATCAAGAGTTCACCTCCGGTTAGGTTTTGGCGCAGTCGAAATTTATGTTTAGGTGAACTCGGCTTCTTCCTGAGTTCGATCTTAGGTAGAGGCTAATATTTGGAATAGACTCTCCTGCTTGAGCAGAGGTTGGACTATATGACCTTCAAGGTCCCTTCCAACTCTGTCATTCTATGGAACCAGATTAAAAGAGCGTTTAGGAAACACGTGGGGGCGTCCCTTTAAATTAAAAAAAACAAAAAAACTTCCGAGTCATTTCCTTCTGTTCTTCTCCCGTCATCCAATGAGAGCGCTCGGTTTCCTTGGAGCGCGCCCACCCACCCACGCACCGGCCCCTTTCCTAAGAGCAGACGCCCCGCCCCTTTCGGCTCCCGCCACCTCAATCCCTCAAACCCGCGTCCCCGTCTCGCGCTCTTAGGGGGAAGCGGGGGGGGGGAAGGGTGGGCCTTCCCTCCGCGATTGGTCGAGGCCCGATGGAACGGCACCGCCCTTGGCCAATGGCCTTCGAAGGGCGGGGTCGAGCGTCCGCGCGGGAGAGAGAGAGAGAGAGAGGGAGAGCGAGAGGCTGAGGTGATTCTCGCGGCTGGGCGGGCAACGGAGGAAGCTTTGTCGGCCGTCGCTCGTTCGCTCGCTCGCTCGCTTTGCCGGCCACCATGTTCCAAGGGCCCGAGTCCGACACAGCCAGACCCAGCTCCAGGTGAGGCGGCCGGGATGGGTTTTTTTTTTTCCCCTCAGCTTACGCTTGTGGGGAGGGGACTACAAAGCCCAGCATCCCCAGCCTTGAGACTACTACCCCGACCCATCCTTTCCCCCCCCCCACCGCCCCCCGCGTGTCCTTGCAAGCTGCCCGCGCACCGGATTCCACGAGGCGCGGCTTTTCTCGTGGAAACTCCCTGGTTTGGGTCTGGGAGGGTGAATCCCCGCCTCGGGCGGCGTCCACACCCCCCCCCCCGCACCTCCCTCTCTTGAGGCCGGCAGCGGAGAGGCGACTCCCCTCGCCTCGGGAGCGGGGAGGAGAGTGTCGACCAGCCGGCTGGAGCCCCTGGTCTAGGGTGGGGGGGGGGATGAGGGGGCGGTTCTGTCCTTTGCGGGGGTCCTGGAGGGAAATCGAGGCAGGGGTCGTCTCCCTTCTGCCGCCGCCCCCCCCCCCCCCCCCCCCAAAAAAAGCAACCCTACAAGACGAAGGGTGGGGTGGCCGGCAAGTTATTGTGTCTGCCTTGTCCGGAGCAAAATATATAATATAAAATATTTATCTAATCTTATCTATATCTCTATCTACCTCCCTATCCCCCTCTCTATCTTTTTATCTATCTCTATATCACTACCTACCTACCTCTCTATATCTCTGCCTACCTCTCTCTATATATCTCTATATCTACCTCCCTACCCCCCCTCTATCTATCTATCTGTCTGTCTGTCTATCTATCATCTATCTCTTTACCTAGCTATCTATCTGTCTATATCTATCTATCTCTACCTATATCTCTACCTACCTACCTATTTATCTAATATACCTCCCTACCCCCCCTCCCTCCCTACCCCCCTCTCTAATATATATTATATATAACATACATATAACATTATATGTCTACCTACTTACCTCTTTATCTACCTACCTACCTATCTCTATCTTCTATTATCTAATCTTAGGGTGTTTATAATGTCTTGGTAAGACCACACTTGGAATCATTGCATCCAGTTTAGGTTGCCCCGATATAAAAAAAAGATGTCGAGACTCAGGCAAGAGTGCAGAGAAGGAGCAACAAAGACGATTAGGGGACTGGAGGATAAAAAGGACTGGTCGCAAGAACTGGGTTTGTCTAGTTTAGTGAAAAGGACCAGGAGTGACATGATGGGGTTTAACCTGTTTTCCAAAGCACCTGAAGGCAGAACAAGAAGCAATGGATGGAAACTAACCAAAGAGAAAAGCAACCTGGAACTAAGGAGAAATTTACTGATAGTGAGATTAACCAGTGGAACAGCTTGCCTTCCGAAGTTTTGGCTGCTCCATTTGAGGTTTTTAACAAGAGACTGGACAGCCACTTGTCTAGAATGGTATAGGGTCTCCTGCTTGAGCAGTGGGGTAGGTCTAGAAGACCTCCAAGGTCCCTTCCAACTTTGTTATTCTGCTGGTGGGAAACATTCCGTGCAGAATGTTCTGGCCAGAAGGTGCCCAGTCTTGCTTAACTAAGTGATTATTTATTTAAGGTATCCAGCCCAGTTCGTTTATTTGTTGGATTCTTATTTTTATTTCATTTATTACATTTCTACTTCACCTCTCTTACCTAAGTGATTCTGGCCAGTTATAAGTAACTCAAGGCAGCCAAGGTACATAGGATTCCTTCCTCTTCCTGTTTTCCCCATAGCAACCCTGTTTGATGGGTTGGGTCGAGACAGCGTGACAGGCTCAAAGTCACCCAGCCGACTTTTGTGCTTAAAACGGAACTAGAACTAACCTTGAGATTATCTTCTCAAATTGTAAAAAATGCTCTGCTGCAAAATCGATTTGTCTCGGTTGTAACACTGGTTGTTATGTTCCAGGATTTTATTGCTGGTGTTTGCTTTCAGGAGTTTTCAGGGTTTGTACAATCTGCTAAACAATATTTCTGGAATTGGATAGACATGTAGCAATTTCCCTTGAATCTGGCTATGTGGTTAGAATAATATTCTGCTTGTGCCAGAAACAACTTTTTAATGGGCACATGTTGAGCAGCAGCTGCCTTTGCCTTGCGGGATTATGAAAATGAATCTGAGTAGGATTTCAAATGAGGGAGAGGGGTTTGGTTGTTGTTCTTTTGAATCCTCTACCTGATTGCTAGTTTTGGAATTGCAATACTCCAGCATAAATTTTTGATTGCCAAAGGGAAATCAGGTGCCACCCAACCATGTTGTCTGGTATGAAATTCCAAGAAGGCACAACTGCATTTGCTTGCTTTGTTACAAAGTGGGTGTGGGTTGTGAGACGGGAGATCTTTGCTGTAGTTCTGCATCTCTGCAGTTTCGTGTCTTGCCTGAGGCATAACATCTTTTCTCTAAAACTGCCAAGGAACTGCTCTATCAGGCCATGTGCGGAGGGCTTTTTTTTAACTGAAACAGTAATTCAGGATAAAAGTTGGAATTCAATCCTTTTTTAAAAAATTATATCTGTCATAACTTAAAACAACAAATATTGTATTTATTGGGGCTAGTGGTTTAGACCACTAGCCTTAAACAATTGGGAGTGGTTTTCAACACATGAAGTACATGAAAGCAACAGTTAAACACCACAAAACATAACTCTCCCCTTGTGCCAGAGCATTACTTTAACTCTGGTATCGAAATCTTTTTTTAAAAAGTCCATGTAAACTGCCTTCCAGCATGTAACAATGATTATTTGGATCTCTGGAGATAAAAGTGAGCCATAATGGAACATCATAAAAGCAAAGCCGGTTTCCTCTCTTATGTTGAATTGGTGGGTGGGAGCTCAATACCCCGCCCCCATCGTCTAGGCTGGCCTTATACTGATGGTCCTGCAGGCAGTTTATGTCATAGAGGGCTCTGGAAGAAAGCTAGAACATAGAACTGTATTTAGAAGTCTGTGGCTTTGGAGCAGCATTGAGGTTATGTGAAATGGATAATACCTGTTCGTAAGCCATTGCATTTTATAGCATCACTTCCAAGTAGCTTTCGGAGTGATGAGAGTGTGTGGCTAGGGTGTTATTTTCCTGAAAAGGCCATAAATGGCATAGGAGCCAAACCTGGGCAGAATCCCCATTGGTCAAGGTCTCCATCTGCCAATTTATCGCTAATGTAGCTGCTGCCTAAGGGGAGCCCAGATTGTGGAATCCTTCCTGTGGGGCAAATGTCCCCCTCTCTGCACATTTGACAAGAGGAGCAGGCAAAGTACACAATGGTCTGGATAAGCAGGAACCATCTTTCAGGAATTGTTTTTTAGCCTCCAGGCAATGAAACGACAATCCGCTTCCAATTCACATGATCCTGACCTTGTTGATCTTTAACAAACTCCTGAATCTCTTGTTTTTTCCCCCAGGCATCAGGCTTAAAGCCCTGGTGTCCAATCTTGGCAGCTTTAAGACTTTTGAACTTCCAGTTCCCAGAATTCCTTGGCTGGGGAGTTTTGGGAGTTAAAGTCCACAAATCTTAAAGTTGCCTGGGCTGGATACCTCAGGGCTAGAGCATGGGATGAGCTCTGGAAATAGCAATTACATTTATTTTTAAAATTAAATTTGAGATAAATGAGCTGCCTGTGAAAATACAGTTTGCATGTAAATTGTGTGAAGTAATGCCAAATCGTGTCTGAACGATTGGGCTACTTCTATAATTTCCTTTGGATGCAGATATATCACTTCAGGCTCTTTTCCACTCTGGCATGTTGAAAGAAAATAGCTGTAATTCTGCGGTGGAATTATTATCTTCAGTTCTTTTTCTTATCCAATCAGTTTGATTGCAATGGAAATTTGCTTTATGAAATAAAGCATGGTAAACATCTGGCGTGGGTTATAATAGTATCTGCAATGGATTATAACTGCATTTTTACCATCCCTTTGCCAAGTGGTATTACCAGTGAAACACCTTATCTCCCTTCCTTTTTAGATCATAGTCTCTTAACTGACTGTCACTGAGATTGCTGAACATATTTCTGAATTGCATTAGTCAGTTTTAGATATCCTTGCTTTTTACACTGTATTGTCAAGCACTGTAATCCTTTGGGGGGTCTGCTTACCACCAAATATGTGTCCTTAAATGATGCAGCCTGTTAACTTTGTAGGCAAGTTGATTTTTACTTTGACAGTGAGCCTCCATTGACTGCATCAGTCTTAACAATGTGTGCTGGGGATAAAGGTTAATAATTTTTTGTAGTATTTGCATTTGTTGCTGATGATGAGCCGTATCTCTTTCTAATGGCCAACTTCAAACTTGCTTTCTTTTTTTAAAAAAATGTCCCTTGTTAGTGTCAGTGAGTCCACCTCAAACCACAAACTACCAAAATTGTTAAATGATGGTAGAAAAAATTTTGGACAAATTTTTCAGAACATTTGGGGCCCATCAATGTGGAGAGAGTTGATTAGACTAATAGACTTTAACAGTTCAAGATATAAAATGCACTACTAAATTAGTTTAATCCAGAGTTGTTCCAACCTTGGCAAGACTTGTGGACTTCAACTCCTGGAATGTTGGATGGGGAATTTGGGGAGTTGAAGTCCACAAGTCTTAAAAGTTGCCAAAGTTCGATATCCCCTGGTTTAACCCTTCAGAGAACAATAAAGAGCAGTTATTATGCTAGGCAATAATACAAATCTATAATCTTCTTTTTAAAAGTGTATCTCCTCATCGGTATTCAAATACTGTAGTTCTCACACACATTCATGAAAGGGTGTGAACAAGTTGCAGAGGGATAAATAATTGAGCTCAGCGTTCAGTCTTCCTCAGTTTGGGATTGGGTGTGGCTGTAGCCTCACCCAGCAACCGAAAGGAAAGGAAAATTGCCAGCAAGAAGAACCAAGGCAATTGTTGATCCTACTTTGCAACAATCCCTTTGGTGTGTGTGTGTGTAGGGGGGAGGAAGTGTACATACAGTTCTCATAGGAAAGGTCTGCACTAAAACATTATTTGCCAGTCCTGTACAATCTGATACTTTAATCATAATTCTTCACATGGATTTAAATAGATGTTAATTTTGAAAATAGTTAAGTATCGCAGGCTCCAAGAAACTCTTGTTGCTACTTCCTTCAAAAGAAATATTTTAAATGAATTGAAGATTTCCAGATAAAGAAGAATCTTGATTATTCAGATGCTGACCGAGTTTGTACATCATTCCGTGCCCCAAACCTTGGTTTCCAAATGAAATGATCCCACAATTCACAGAATTATATCAAATGGAAGCCAGTGTGCTATCTGAACCATAGCGCTTTACTTCTTTGTATGGACTATCTTTTACAGTCATGGTTGATTGTTGATCATCTCCTGCAAAACAGGGTGCTGCAGCCACCAGGTGGACTCTCCAGTGACCTCTTTGGAAGTGCAGAAGTGTCCTCTTCCAAGTCACAGAAAATGACCTCTAACATATTTGCAGCGGCTGAAGAACCTATGAACTTCCCAAAGAGAACCCATCCCCCAGGTGAGAACCATACTCTTCTTGAAAATACTGAGAATGGGAGCGACAGGTTTGATAAGTTCATCCATGAAACCAGGTAACTAACATTTATCATTCAAAGAGCCGTGGTGGTGCAGTGGTTAGAATGCAATATTGCAGGCTGATTCTGCTCACTGCTAGGAGTTTGATCCTGAATGGCTCAAGGTTGACTCAGCTTTCCATCCTTCAAGGTGGGTTAAATGAGTACCCAGATTGTTGGGGGCAAGAGGCTGACTCTGTAAACCGCTTAGAGAGGGCTGCAAAGCACTATGAAGCGGTGTAAAAGTGCTATGGCTATTTATTATTATCATGGTCACTGCTTTAAGCTACTTTTGACTAAATATTCTTAACTATTTTATACAAATCATTCTGTACTCATCTGTGAGATTCCATTTGCAGTGAATGGATTATATAGTCCCAGCCATTGTCCTGCTTTCAACAGAACACCCGTCATTCACTACCTGACGTAATTTAGATTGCTGACAATTTCAGAGTTTAATACTCATAAAAAGAACAAGTTTATCAGTATGCATGTGAAGTGTTTTGCAAGTTGACTTGTGAGTGAGATTTTGAAACAAGTAAACAACTTGTTCTGTAACAACATCTTGTTCTTTTGTAACAACAGCTTCTTACAATGTTTAAACAACTCTGATCACATTCTTGGGAACATGTATAAGGTGGAAGTTTTTTTTTAAAAAAAATGCCTAAATGTTAATACTTTGGAGTTGCTGGTACATGTAGCAAGGAAGGAGTAAAGACAAGATTGTAACCACAACCAGGCGGTCGAAGCTCCCACATTTTTTTGTGTGCGGACATTCCTGGTTGCAATTATGATAGCTTCATTGGCAAATGGAATAAGATAGATTTACCTGGAGTAATTTGGCATTATATCTGTTTGACATGGCAGTCCCTTTCTTCTACATTAACTTTTTATTTGCCGCTTTCTACATCCTTCAAAGATTATTAGGAAGGAGAGAGTCCTTTTCCTCCGAGAATTTGTGCTTGTGTCTCTACGGAGATAGAAATTCTTGCCTGCAGGGAGTCCTTGAGTTATGACCACACTTGAGCCCAAAATTTATGTTGCTAAGTGAAACACTTGTTGAGTTTTTCCCCCTTCTCGCCACAGTTGTTAAGTGAATCATTGCATTTATTAAGTTAGCAACGTGGTTGTTAAGTGAATCAGGCTCCCCCACATTGACTTTGCTTGTCAGAAGGTTGCAAAAGGGGATCCCGTGACCCCCAGGACACTGCAACTGTCATAAATACAAACCACTTGCCAAGCATCTGAATTTTGATCACTTGACAATGGGGATGCTGCGATGGTCCTAAGTGTAAAAAACAGTCATAAGTCACTTTTTTCAGTGCCTTTCTAACTTTGAACGGTCACTAAATGAACTGTTGTAAATTGAGGTCTTTCTTGGGGGGCCTTTTAGGGTATCTCAAGACATGCTTTCTCTTTATGTATGCAACTTATAAAATGTAATAGTTGTAATTTATTTATACAATTATTTCAGAAATTAAGGGTTAGGTACAGATATAGGTACATTACATGAATTTTTAAAGGATGTTAACATTTACATTCTAGATTGCAAAACACATTTATTGAGCCATAAGGTAAAGGCAAAGGTTCTCATTTCTGATTCTAGGGGGCGGTACTCATCTCTGTTACAAAGCCAAAGGGTCAGTGCTGTCCGAAGATGTCTCTGTGGTCATGTGGTCCTGACTAAACACCGAAGGCGCACGGAGGAACGCTGTTCCTTTCCCACCCAAGTGGTCGCTATTTTTCTACTTGCATTTTTTACATGCTTTCGAACTGCTAGGTTGGCAGAAGCTGGGACAAGTAACGGGAGCTCACTCTGTTATGTGGCGCTAGGGATTCAGACCGGCAAACTGCTGACCTTTCTGATTGACAAGCTCAGTGTCTTAGCCACTGAGGCATTGTGTTCCTCATACATGGGTGCAAATCTTTGGGTTAGACGTGTTATTTTTACATGATCATTTCTTCAAGAAAGGATTTTCTGTAACATTTGGGGGGGGGGTATTTGTAATGCTGGTCAAAGACTATAATTCACTGTGAGTTATATTGTGTTGGCGGGGCGTTCATGAAGGGAGGCTCAGCCAATCTCATTGTACACATGTTGTACTCTGACAATAAAGGTTTGAACTTAATAAAGGGATATTAAGCAGAAAGGAAAATCAGCAGGATCTCAGAAAGGAAACCTTTATCCAAAGCTGTGCAAGCATGTCTGGTTCCCGAAGGGCCTCCACATCCTAGCCAGCCTTAGGGTTCACGGCTTGTTTCCTTCTGCCCTGGAGACTCAGAGAGGAAGAGCAGTTCCTGAGCAACTTCCTCACTTATTGTTGTCTTGCAGGTGGGAAGGACAGCGGCATTTTTGAGGATCATAAACCGAATGCATCCCGGCAATTTATAAACCCACCTGGAGGGAAAACACACAATATCTTTGGGAGCTCATCACCTGTCAGTGCAGTCAAAGCACATCCGAATAAGCCCAAGGTAACTCGCTTATAGCTTCCAATCACTTTCTTTTGTTTTTTGTTTTTAAAAGAAGAAGGGGGGGAGCCCAAATTATAATAATCAATGTAGGCAAAGTAGTTGTGTTTGTATAAAGGAAGCTGTTGAATACGCACTTCTTGAGTGACAAACTCAAGGGACTAATGCTGGCTTGATTGACCAAGCAATATAAATAATCTACTGTCGATTTAAATTGACTATAAGGGAAACATTTGGTGTTAATACAAAACAAAATCTCTGTAAAGATTTTTCTGTCTGATGCAGGACCCAGAGTTTGCATGTCTTTAGAAGCATTGCTTTGTAAAGCTGGATTGCCAGCCTGGTTTGTCTTACAGCTTGAAAGGGTTCTCATAAAAAATGGCCTTTTGAAAGTGTTGGTTAATATCTAAAACCCTTTTTCTTCCTTCTTATCTAGGACCACACCTTTCTGTTGAATGATAGAGGAGATTCATCACGAGAAACAAAAGGTAATTGGAGCAAGGCCTCTCGAATTCTGTCAGTTCCATTATTTTATCCTTTATACCGTATCAGCTTTTGAAAATCACATTATAGCTTTTAGTACTATATACTTTATAGCAGGGGTATCCAACCTTGGCAGCTTTAAGATCTGCGGACTTCAACTTCCAGAATTCCCCAGCCAGCACAGGTTTTGCATACAATTTTCCCAAGCATGACTGGCTGGGGAATTCTGGGAGTTGAAATCCACAAATCTTAAAGTTGCCAAGGTTGGCTCTTGAGAGAGAGAGAGAGAGAAATCCAATCTATTGGCCCTCTGAGAGGTTTCCCCTTATGATCCTGACAATGGACCACATTTGACAGGCCATGCATCAAATGTTAAGAGTTTCAGACCATCCCCCCCGTCTCCCCTCCCCCCATTCTTTTAAGTGATCTTGATGTAAAGGGAAGCATTGCATAAGCTGAACTAGCTAACATCTCCTTCAGATGAAGTAGTAGAAGACTAACCGGGAGTAAGTAAGTTAATCAAACACTGTACCATGCGTGGGAACCTTGCATGCAAAGCCCAAGCGTTGGCAGCACACTTGGAATAAAACCAAGCAGAATGAACACTGTATTCTAACCTGCCACGTCTCATCTTGCACAGTTCCAGAAGACCAAAGACCGCAGAGAGAAGAGTCGAGTGAGAAGAAGGACCTGCTGAAGGAGACCACCAAAGAACCTGGCCCCAAGATAGACAACCATGAACCCAGGCTGGGACCACGGCCGCGTTCTCACAACAAAGTCCTCAACCCCCCAGGAGGCAAATCTAGCATTGCATTCTATTAGGGAAGGCCACTTTCTCACCCCCACCCTTCCCCAATGTCTTAAGCTTTCATTCTCAGAACCAAAAGGCTAATTTTCTAGTGCTTGAAGGAGGGAGGCACTTAGTGGTTTGGCTTGTTAGTCCATAGCAGCAATCGGGCTTTGGAGGAGGGGGGTGTTTGTAAGACGGGGACGAGCCTCCTTCCTTCTCTCTGCATTCTGAACACAGTTAAGGAAGACTTCCAGAGATGGATTGCAGAACACATTCCAATTAAAGTGCAATACCAATTTTTGATCTGCCAGCTAGGCAACACGGCCTCAAGGAGATTTTCTCTCTGTTGGTAAACAAGGGAGGCTGCTGCAACCCCTGCCTCGGAAAAGAGAGTCGTCCCTTGATTGTCGTCTTGCAAAAAAAAAAAAAAAAAGTGCAGGCAAATCATTTTTTGAGATAAGTTATAGTTGAAATGAATCATGCACAAATCCCTTTTCTGAAAGAGTTTTAGAAGCTTTGGCTTTGTGGCACTCCTCTTTTGACCAGTTGGCTATAACTTCATGATGAGTAGCACATTAAAACAAAAAAATAGATCTGTTGATAGAACGAAGCCAAACCGCTTAAGTTTAAAATTAGAGCCTGAACCCTCTCCAAGGAGGCAGTTCAGAAGCTAGTGACTAACTCTCTCCTTCGTCACTAACCTCCCTGCACAAGCTGTTGTGCCTGAAGACTTTAATTTGTATTGGGCAGCGAGCTGCTGTAGCTTTCAGAAAGGTTCTCATTCTAATGTTATGCTGACTCTTAGTCTGTTCTCCTTGTTGCTCTTTGGTTGCCTTTAGCGACCTCTCTGTCCCCTTAGCTGGGTCTTTCTATGCAGAGGCAGCCTCTGTTACCTTTAGCTACATGAGGTGGAGCTTAGACACTGGCTGTTTTGTTTTTCAAGTTCTTGGGCTCACCTCTTCCACGCCCTCTGCCAATAGGAAAGAAAGATCAGACTGGGGTCCACCAGTTCTTCTAGGGCAGGCAGTGACAAAAGAGGTGGGGCCAGAATTCTTCATCTTATATGTTTACCTATTTTATCTCTTCCTCAGCCCCTCCTTCCCACCTATACCCACTTCAAACATTGCATAGTGCCAATTCATGTGGCCTCACAGATTCTGAACACCAGGGGTCTCCAACCTTGGCCACTTCTAAGACTTGTGGGCTTCAACTCCCAGAATTCCTTAGCCAACCACGCTGCCTGGGGAATTCTGGGAGCTGGAAGTCCACAAGTCGTAAAGTTACCAAGGTTGGAAACCCCTGCCGAACTTTCTTGGAAGAATGTATGAAAGCTTTCTTTGAAAAAAAAAAGTTTCTGTAAGAGGTCACTTATTCTATAGTTATTGGAAAGCAGAGCGCTTCCAGGTTTATCAACTGAACATTAACATCTCTGTGCCTTTTAACTTGCAAGTGAGTAAACATTGTTATATTGCTATAACCTTTAAACCAGGGGTCTTCAAACTTGACAGCTTTAACACTTGTGAACTTCAACTCCCAGAATTCCTCCTCCAGTCATGTTAGCTTATGAATTCTGGGAGTTAAATTCCACAAGTCTTAAATTTGCCAAGTTTGAAGACCCTTGCCTTAAACTGTGAATATCAACTTCCTGTGAATTTTTAACCTGATTCTTAGGATGACCTAAGGATGACCCTTGAGGTCTATTTCTAACAGCTTAATACCATTAGGAAAGGGTCAATCTTGGTTCTCACACGTACACCCATATATTCCATTGTTAAACAGGAAGCATTCAAAGACAACTCTTAATTGTAGAGTATGTCTGGATAACTGGAATGTCGTTTCTTTAGTTTGATTTATACATAATGCTCTTCTATCCCCAATCACAGCTATTCTGCCCTTACATTTCCTACAATCATATGGTCTCGTCCCTGTTGGACATACCTTTAAGTATTATAAAACTGCCTATTTTTGTAATGTTTCGGTTATCTGTTTCACATTGGAACAAATATAAGTTGACCCACAATAAAGCAGCCCAGATCCAGACTTAACACTCAAATAATCTTGTTCTATAATTCAAAGGATGTTCAAAAGCAAGCAAAGTCATCCTAGAATGGATTTGTTATTCGTGTTCACAAGCTATGGAAAAGATCAATCCCAAAATACATTCCAGCATTCCTTGTTTAATCCCCATTACGGGAAGGCAACATTAGAAAATAATGTTGAAAGTCGAAAATAAAATCAAGCATTCCTTGTTTCTCCTTCCTTATCAAACTCGCCTGTTTGGCTGGGGCCTTTTCAGCCTGTGTCCTACTGACTTGAGGTTTGCTTTTTTTGCTATGCAGATGCAGCTCAGGGTAACAAATCCCAAAGAGACATGGGCAAAATGGCAGCCAGTGGCTTATTCTGGAAGATTGCCTGAGGTGTGTATTAAATGTAATACCTTGCTGGAAAGGACAGACGCAAGAGGGAATTGCAAATTAGTGAGATGACTGCCAAGGAAGGGAGGACTGAAAGAAGCAGGATGGCTGCTTCTGAACATGTCTATTGAGAAAAACCCTTTGGCAGAATTAGGAACTTTGGCTATGATGGTTATGCCATACAGAATCAAGCGCAAATGTAATGTTACAGTCCTGGTATAGTTGGTTAGCCAACATCTCCAGGCACAAGCTGGAAGTAGACTAATTTAACTATAAGAGCTAGCTCAAGACCCTTACTAGTCTCTGTTGCTTTCAGGACATTTGCAATATACAGTGTTGGGTGGATGTCACCTTGCACCATTTCCCATAATTGCAGCACGAGTTTGTGAAGAGACAGAAGGGGGAAAAGTCTGTGTTTCTGGATGAATTCTTTCTAGACTAGGGGCGTCCACCTTTGGCAATTTTAAGGCTTCTTGTGGATTTCAACTCCTAGCTGGCTGGGGAATTCTGACAGTTGAAGTTCATGAATCTTAAAAAGTTGCCAAAGTTGGACATCCCTGGTCTAGACTGTGTACGAGAAGTCCAAATGCCTCAGTGTCAAATGATCAGACCATTGTGGTTTGCTTTTTCCAACTCCCTGAATTTTCTGTTGGAATTCCATCAAGCATATGTGGCCTTCGTAGAATAGCTCGATCCACCAGCGACAATCACAAGTTCATTGCAAAGTTATTTCTGAGATGCTCTGTACTAGAAGCTAAAACAGTTCAGCATTTAGATAAACTCTGGACTAGACAGCCAACCCATGCTTGAAACTCAGCGCTGGTTTAATATTTCTTGCCAAGTTCTCTCTCACGGTTTGCTATACAGGTAATGCCACCCTTTCAATACCAGGGAGATGAGGGAAAAACAAATAGAATGCAAACACCACTTAGCTTTCTAATGAAACGAGCGACGTGAGAACAATTGGGCAACGTCAGCTTGGGGTGCCATTTGCATGTCATTGCTACATGTGGATTACTTGGAATTGCACAATTTCAAAGGGGCGTTTTCACCAGTGCTTCTCTGTTAGCCTTTTTTTCCTGCTAAGCCTTAAGTTATGATTGATTTAACTTGTGCCTATCATTTTTTTTCAAGGGGTGGCTGAGGATTACACTGTGTATCCAGAAAGGGTATTTTCCTTTTTAAAAGCTACATTAGGAGTTAATAATAACTCAACTATGTTGAATTGTGCTGTTTAATAAACAACTGTATTTCACTAGTCCATTAGAGTAGAGCTGATGGATTCTTCAAATCTTTTTTTAATCCCCTTATAGCCTCATGAGTTTTACATGTACAAACTAAGATAGTCTAAGCCCAAGGTGCCTCTCCTAAAAACCAGTTATTTCTTCCCAAGTGGCTGGTAATCCAGAGATTTTACTGTAACCAAACTAGCACACAGTATATTGCATGAATTGTAAAGAATGAGATCGTTGGGGCAAAACAAAAGCAAGGTTTATAAAATTCCTTTTATTTATGCTAATAGCCATTGTGAGGTGGCACAATCATTAGCTATGCAACCTTGATATTCAACCTTGAACTGACTGTTAGTTTCCATAGGCAACACACTCATTCCTAAGACTTTTGTGAGCAGGTTAAAATGCAAGCAATTCCTTTTGTGAAGTTGACAATCTGTAGAGGAATGAGAAGAATTTCCTCAATTCTTCCTATCATAAATACAAAAATGTTTTTGTTCTACTGAAATGCCTTTAAATCTTTCTTTGTAATAGTGTTCAGGGAAATAATAATTAACTTGATTGAATCCATTCCTGTGCCATTGGTTCTCACATCAGTCAAGGCTGTCTGGTACATCTGCATTTTTTAAAAATTAAATCCCTTTGTAGCATTACCACTATCCCCTTTTTCCCACTCTGGTATCCAAATGTGAAGAGTGTTGCTATTAGACAAATCAAGCTGTGTCCATTGTTCTTTGTATCATTTGACAATAAAAAATATTAAGTTGGCAGTCTTGTTTTCGTGCGAGTTGGGCTACACAGGCACTCTGAGAAAAGTTAGACAAGCTGTAACCCAATGGTTTGTCCAAAAGGAACTGCAAAAGTGGTCAGAGATCATTCCAGAGGAGTAGATGGGATGCTTGTAACAATGATTGGCTCTAATTTGGAAAGAGGGCTCTTGTGAGTGACTCTGCTTGCTTCAGTAGCCGCGTCACAAAAATATAGCTATCGTACTTCCCATTCTAATCTTAGTGGCCCTCCCTTAGCAGAGTTGCAGGTCACTTTTCTTCTTCTAAAAGTTGAGGTAGGAGATCAAGCCAAGTTTGGCATCTATTAAAATTCTTGTTCCTGTAGCAAAGATGCTTTTTCAAGAGGCAACTGGACTTTGTTTTTCCTTGAAGATGTCTCGCTTCTTCAGTTCTTGAGAAGAACTGGATGAGAAGTGAAACGCCTTGAAGGGAAAAACCAAGAAAGTCAGGTTGCCTCTTGAAAAAACACCTGTGGGACAACCCAGGACTTTGGATGACTGAGAGTCTCCACAGAGATCTTGTTCCTGTAACCCTTAACTGAATGCAGGACACAACGTTTTCAACCAAGGTGCCTTAAATGGGCTAATGTACAGAAAGTGTCCCAAATTCGATCACGGGATTGAAATTTGGCAAATGTCATGAAACAGGTTACGACGTAAGAACTCTCACAAAACCGTTTGTGACATAACAGAAAATGTCAAAGCATTTTCTGCATTGGTGTTTGTGCAACACAGTTCCACATGGGCTATTTTCAAGGCAGTTCCATCTCTGAATGTATCTTGCATTTGATTTTGAAGACATTTGGAAACCTGGTCGGGAAATATTTCGGAGATGTCCCTCTGAGTCATGGGTTGTCTAGTTGGGCTAAAAACGAGCTTGCAATTTGACCGGAAGATGATAGAAGGAAGAGGGTCAGGAATGCTGTTGTATATTTTTACAGAAACCCATCCATCTATGTTCAGGGAGGCCTGTCTACAATCTTCCTGCAAAATAGCGTCTTTCCCAAATTCTGGACATTTTCCTACCAAGGGATGAATCCCGTCAGTAATTGGCTATGTATTGCTAGGGAGAGTTATTGGCATGGGCTTGTTATATTTTCTAATTGCAGTGCAACATCTGAAGTCTAAGGCCAGCTAACCACTTGAGGGACAGCAGTGCCAAAAGCTAACTCATAACTGGATCACGTTACCGCTGGCTCAAAGCATCAAATGCCTCTGGGATGGGTTTGGCCTATCCAGAGTGATTAACTCCGAAGTGAATATAGTTAACCGTGTTAATAGATTATCTTAACAGGTATTACGTTTCTACTTCTAGAGCAAAGTTAAATAGCCCTCTTGACAAATTACCAACTTGTATAGCCACAATTACTAGTAAGGATATTGTGCTGAAGAGATACAGAATAGTCAATGTCATAGTCATTCATGTTAGCCTTTATATCCCGAAAGAGTCAGGGTGGAGCTACTGGAACCCTTCTTCAGAAGAAGTCAAAGGAGAAATGGAAACTGGGAATGTACTATAATGCCCGAGTTCCTGAATATTAGGATCTTCAATACTGTCAATATATTTCAAAAAGAAGCCAATATAATTGAAACAGATGTGTGAGGAAGGCAAACCTCGATTTAAAACCTCATGATTTTGGAAAAGGAAAATTATGAAGGATTTTGATAATACTGCTGTGGTGGGTGCTACAAGGATGAAATCCATTATTAGCCTTTTAACAGTGCAAAAGGACCTTTTTTTAAAAAAAAAAGTGAGTGCAATGTGTGCATATACAATTGCTTGCACAGAGTAATTTACATTCCCACCTTTTCATCCGTTTAAGATCTGCAGAAAAACTTTTTCAATCTCTTCAGCAGAAAATATCCCGCAATAAAGAAGACATCTTAATGACTACACAACTCAAAATTGGCATTAAAGATCTCGGCACTCATGGCAGCTGCAGCATTAATGATAGTGTAAGATTTTCAGTTAACTTGTAGCACCTCGCAGCTACTTGGAAAGCAGCTATTCTTGTACACTGCACTTAGGCCCCGTTCTTTAAATTCCCTTATTAAACCCCCAAAGAAAGGAGAGAAAAAAGGAGGGTGCGTTGTTAGAATGAGGCTCTCTGGCTCATTTGCGTTGTACTCCCATGTCCCGAAGGCCTCTTCTTTCAGTTGATAGACGGTTCTCCTTCTGCCTCATTGAGAAGAGGAGCAGTGTCAACAGATGGTTGGGCCACAGCCTCGGTCGGCGAGTGTTTGGTTGAGCGGTTCAACGTGCCACCCTGGGAAATTCATAGAATTTGGGAAAGTTTGGTGAAAGTTGAACCTTTAGGGATGTAGTCCAGGGTAAACGGATTCCCCCCTTGTTTTGTTTTTAAATATACTTTATTGATTTTACAATTAAAATAGACCAACAACACACACATGAATGCAAGAGAGAAAAAGAAGACAAAGAGAAGGGGAAAAAAAGAATAGAAAGAAAAAGATAGATTCCCCCCCTTGTTAATTGGACAAGATGGATTCTTACCTGCTTCTTATCTACTATGTTAAGGCAGACAGAGGTCCCAATGCATGCGATGGTGTTGGCCAGCATGAAGATCATCATCTGTTGCCAGCGCCATAAGGGGATCTTCAGTTCACTGGGAAAAAGGGATTTTTTTAAAAAAAACAAACATTATACTGTCCTGAAGAAGGGAGCAAGAGGAACAAGTCCAGGCATTTTACATCATATCGCATTAGTTCCATTAAGATACAGCAGGGGTGTCAAACACAAAGCCTGTGGGCTGAATCCAGCCCGCGATGTGGTCAGATCTGTTCTGGAAGAGCCGTCCTGGAAAATGTAAGGAGCCGGCCAGCGTGACTTCGGCCCGGTCTACCCAATGTAAAGAGAGAAAACGTGCCAGGAGTTTGGGGAGTGGCGTCCGGCTAGCCACGCCCACCCAGTTGGCCATGCCCAGTGAGTGGCATCAAACTGGCCACGCCCACCCAGTCGGCTACCCCCACCCCCACCCCGAGATCAACCACAGCCCTGATGCGGCCCTCAATGAAATTGAGTTTGACACCCCTGAGATACACAGGTAGTCCTCGACTTACAACAATTCATTTGAAGTCACAACCGCACTGGAAGGAAAGGCGACTTATGACCGTTTTTCCACACTTAGGATACCATGGCCCTCTCCCTGCAGTCACGTGACCAAAATGCAGATGCTCGGCAACAGATTCATATTTATGACGGCTGCCGTGTCCTGGAGTCACATGACCCCCTTTTGTGACCTCCTGACAAGCAACGTCAGCAGGTTCACTTCCCAACCGTGTGACTAACAACTGCAGCAATTCACTTAACGAATGGTGACAAGAAAGGCTGTAAAAGGGGGCAAAGCTTAGTTACCAGATGCCTCACTTAGCAACACAAACTTTGGGCTCGGCTGTGGTGGTAAAACAAGGACTACCTGTATTTGGTTATTCCATCATCAAGCAATCGTTAGGAATGACAAGATGCTTTTTCTGGATTTGGAAGGCATAAAAAGTCTCACTGGAGAGCAAAAAGGCATCTGTTGTTACCTGGATTTTGTTCCCAAAATCCGCCCCACGATCACATTCGAGAGGCCAATGCCGATCATTTGCACGGATGTCGCCAGCCCCATAGCTGTTCCCAGTGTTGCTTGAGGAACCACCAGCGGAATTGAAGGCCACATGCTGGCCTGCACAAAAGACGGTTGAAAAGACAGACCGGAAAAACAGTGTGAGAGGAACCGCTTTTTCAAGGAAGAAAGAATCAAATTTCGGAGAAAACAATCGGATAAAGCAATGTTTCAGCCTTAAGAGCTTGAAGACGTGCAGACTTCAATTCCCAGAATTCCCTAGGCAGTCCGTACAGGTTAAGATTCCTCAGGCTGAGAAATGCTGAGATTAAACTCTTAAAAAGACTCCAGAATCAACAGGAGTTTTTATCAACAACTCCTAACCTGTTTACTGATAATCCCAACGGGATGCCACGGATTAGGCTGCTTAGATGGACCCATTTTCTTCCCAAAGAACAGGAGCCAACTCATTTCTAAGGGGCGCTTAATCTATCAGACACTTAAATTTGGATTCCTGCAACGAGCAGAAATTAGACTCTATGTGCTCCCTGACCTCTGATTCTAAAACTGTTCAAGCCAGCAGTAGAATGTGAAACTCAGCAAAATCAAAATCCCACTTAAATTGGCTTGCCAGATAATTCTTCTGCTATGACTCTCTCCTCGCCTCCTTCTAACCTTTCTCTTTCGAAAGAACAACCCAGCAACATGTGACAAAGTTAGGTCAATACCAGAAACTTCCCCACGGCTTAAAGTAGAAATCAAGAGAGCATCAACGCATGACAGTTCTGAAAACTTACGGCTGCAAAGGAGTAGGTGATTCCTAGCCAGATGGTGGAGACTAGTGGCGGAACGAACGTGAAGGCCAAGAGAGCAAATACGGGCAACGTTAG